TACAAGTTTTTTTGGTAGAGTCTTGCTTTCTCTAAGTATATTTAACAAATAGTGACAAGTTCACTTCTTTACCAATTTGCATTTTATTTCTGCCTTTTTCTTGCCTAATTGCTTCAGCAAGGACTTCCAGTTCTATCTTGAATAATAATGGTAATAGGGGACATCATTCTCTTGTTAATTGATCTTAGTGGGAATAAATTCAGCTTTTTACTGGGACTACATCAAATTAAAGAGCTTCTGCACAGCAAAAGAGACAATATCCAGGCCTCCCCGGTGGCGCAGCGGTTGAGTGCTGGGTTGCGAAGCTGCCCGCAGCCTCTGCAGCGCCGGTTTGATTCCCGGCTGCTCCCCGGCCACCGGAGGAGGGTCCCACATGGTGCGCAGACCTCTCCTGCTGCCCGCTGCTCCCCTCAGCAGTGTACTTCGGTCCTTCTGCCTGCTCTGCTCCCTGCTCTGGCTCTGGTGAATTCTCTCACCCTCCCGCGCTTCTGACTGTACCCAGTGCATGTATAAACAAAACAAACGAACAAACAAACAAATAAATAAATAAAACATGCCTCTATAAAAGAAAAAAAAAAAAGAGGGAGAGAGAGACAATATCCAAAACAGAGAGAAACCCCACTGACTGGGAGAAAATTTTTGCATACAACACTAATGATAAAGGACTGACCACAAAGAGCTGATGAGACTCAACAAAAACAACAAAGAAAATAATCCAGTCAAAAAATGGGCAGAAGAGCTAAAAAGAAACTTCTCCAAAGAGGAAATGCAAATGGCCAACAGGCATATGAAAAAATATTCAACATCACTTGTAATCAGGGAAATGCAAATCAAAACTACAATGAGATACCATCTTACACCAGTGAGAATGGCACATATTAAAAAAACTAGCAACAACAAATGCTGGCGAGGGTGTGGAGAAAAAGGAACTCTCCTGCACTGTTGGTGGGAGTGCAAACTAGTCCAACCACTATGGAGAGCTGTGTGGAGATTTCTTGACCTACTAAACATAGAGCTTCCATATGATCCAGCAATTCCACTCCTAGGTATTTCCCCAAATGACACAGAAACATTAATTCCAAAGGGCATCTGCACCCCTAAGTTTATAGCAGCACTATATACAATAGCTAAGCTTTGGAAACAACCCAAATGCCCCAAAATAGGGACTGGATCAAGAAGATGTGGTACATATACACAGTGGAATATTACTCAGCAATCAAAAAAGATAAACACATGCAGTTTGCAGCAACATGGATGGAGCTAGAAGGGATCATGCTCAGCGAAATAAGTCAGAAAAAGAAAAATACCGGATGGTCTCACTCATAGCAGGAATCTAGAAAACTTAAATAAGGGACCAGGAAAATGAATAACTATAAGAAAGTGAAAATCAACAAGCAACTATGGACCAGAGACACACTGCAGGAGGAGAGGGGGTGGGCAGGGAGAGGAAGGATTAGGGTCAAAATAAGGGGGTGTGCAATTGTATGGGGAATATAACCAAAATAAAAATGCATACATTGTGCAAAAATGAAAAATGATGTAAGAATTATATAAAATAAAATATTAAAAAAAAAGAATTGCTACAACTACTAAAAAAAAAATTCAGCTTTTTAACCACTGAGTATTATATTGGCTGTGGGTTTGTCATATATGGCTCCTATGATGTTTTTATAAGCTCCATTTATTCTTCCTTTTTTTCCTTAGTATTTTTCATCATAAATGGATGTCAGGTTTTGTCTAATGCTTTTTCTGCATCTATTAAAATGTGGTTTTTGTACTTTGTTCATCTGGTGAATGACATTGATTGATTTGCACATGTTAGACCATACTTTCATCCCTCGGGTGAAGCCTACTTGATTGGGATGGGTGATTCTCTCGATAGATTGCTGTATTTGGTTTGCAAGGATTTTGTTGAGGATTTTTGCATCCATGTCTCCCAGTAATACTGGTTTGTAATTCTTTTTTTTTTTTTTTGGTATTTGTTTGGTTTTGGGATCAGGGTAATGGTGGCCTCATAAAATGTGTTGGGGAGTTTTCTTTCCTGTTCAGTGTTTTTGAAGAGTTTGAGTGGGCTAGATACTTGGGTAGCATTCATTGGAGAAGCCATCTGGTACTGGACTTTTGTTCTAAGGGAGACTTTTTATTACTCTCAATTTCAGCACTAGTGATTGCACTGTTTAAGCTGTCTCATCCATCCTGTTTCAATCTTCAAAGGTTGTCTGAGTCTAAAAATATGTCCATTTCTTTTAGGTTGTCCAGTTTGTTTCCACAAAGACTTTTGTAATGGGTCCTTATGAGCCTATGTATTTCTCCAGTTATGTTGTCATTTTGCCTCTTTCATTCCTGAGTCTGTTGATTTGGGGTTTCTCTCTTTTTGTAAGCATAGCTAATGGCTTGTCCATTTTGTTTATTTTTTCAGAGAACCCACTCTTGGTTTCACTAATCTTTTGGACTGTCCTTTTTTCTATTTCATTTATTTCTGCTCAAATTTCCATTTCTTTCTAGGGTAACATAAAAATTTGTTGACTGCTGCTTAATATTACTTACAGAGAAATTAATATTAGCTGTTTATATTAGAAAAGAAAAAAGACCTGACAATAATGACCAGAGTTTCCATCTTAAGAAACTTGAAAAGGGGACCTCCCCAGTGGCGCAGCGGGTTGAGTGCAGTGCTGTGAAGCTGTCCACAGCCTCTGCAGTGCAGGTTTGATTCCCGGTGAGCCAGGGAGATACCCACATGGCACAGCAGACCTCTCCTGTCTAGCCCGCTGCTCCCCTCAGCGGTGCTTTTGGTCTGTCTCTCTGTTCTGCTCCCACTCTGTCTTTGCTGAATTCTCTCACCCTCCCATGCCTCTGGCCTATACCCCAGCTCTTGTATAAATCAATAAATCTTTTTTTAAAAAAATTTTTAAAAAAAGAAACTTAAAAAAGAAAAAGTTAGTTAAACTCAGGCAAAAGACTAGAGCAACAACTAGTGCATAAAATAGAGACTCTCAGATAACTAGTGAAATCAGATGATTCTTTACAATATTTTATAAAATTAATAAACCTCAGCAAAATGATCAAGAAGAAGAAGACAATGATAACCAATGTTAGAAATGAAAGAAGTCACTGCAGATATAGGTCATAAAGGAATGTTGTTAGTGACTATGACAATAAATCAGAAACTTAGATCTGAATTGACTAATTCTTTTAAAGACACAAAGTACCAAAACTCACTCAGGAAGAAATACACCAATTGGAGAAATTGATCTGTAGTTAAAAAAACCTGACAATGAAAGCTTCAGGCCCAGTGATTGTCGCTAGTGAATTCTACCAAACATTTTAGGAAGAAATTATATCAATTCTGTAAAAACTCTCAGAAAAGAGGCAAAGGAAGTACATTGTAATTCATTTTATGAGGCTAGTATTAACATGATACCAAAACCAGATATTACAAGAATACTACAGATGAATACCTCTCATAAACATAGATTTAAAAAATTCTTAGCAAAATACTAGCAAATCAAAATCAGGAATACACAGAGAGTGACAAACCAAAACTAATAGGGCTTATCTCAGGAATGCAAGATTTGTTTTGAAAACTAACCAGTATGCTTTGCCACAATAACAATAAAGAAGATGTATGCATCAATAGGTACAGGGGCGGGGATTCCCCGGTGGCACAGTGGTTGAGCACTGGGCTGCGAAGCTGCCCGCAGCCTCTACAGCGCAGGTTCGATCCCCTGCCGCCGGCGAGGGTCCCACATGGCGTGACGGACCTCTCCTGCCTCCCCCGCTGCTCCCCTCAGCAGTGTATTTATTCATCAGTCTGCCTGTTCTGTTCCCTGTTCTGGTGAATTCTCTCACCCTCCCGCGCTCTGACTGTACCCAGTGCTTGTATAAATAAATAAATAAACCTTAAAAAAAAAATGCAATAAAGGAACACCATGACTTATATATTACTTATATATTATCCTTGCCAGAAAGGCATACTTCAGTTATGAGGACAAACCTAAATTGGGGGTGAAATGCTATAAAATAATTATTTTCCAAGTAACTGTCGATTTATCTGTCATGAAAATTAAGGAAAATTTGAGCAACTGTTCCCAGTTTGAAAGAAACTAAAGAGACACGATAACATTGTGTAACTCTGAACAGTGTAATGCAGTGTGTAATTCTGAATTGGACCCTTTTGTTTAAAGGACAAATGGAACAACAGACAACTTGAATGGGATTTGAGGACCATATGAAATTAGTATGTAGCTGTCAATTTCTTGACTTACGGTTGACAATGTTTGTGTTTTGTAGAAATAGTAGGGATGGGATACCAGATCAGCAATTTACCCTCAGGTGGTTCAAGGGGTAATGTTTTGCATATTGTATTCCTACTTTTCCATAATCTTGTGATTGTTTATAAAAATATATTTTAAAAAACACTTCGTTTACGTAAAAGATAAAATTCATTTATTTGAAAAATCCACATACTTGATCTAATAACACTTAAATAAGGGGAGTAGACAATATAGAACAATTTTGGTGAATTAGTTAAACTTCATGCCATATTTTTTTTATATATATATATATTTTTAAGATTTTATTTATGTTTTTCTACAAGTGCTGGGTACAGTCAGAAGCGCGGGAGGGTGAGAGAATTCACCAGAGCCAGAGTGGGTAGCAGAACAGACAGACTGACGAGGTACACTGCTGGGGGGAGCAGCGGGTTGCAGGAGAGGTCTGCGCACCATGTGGGACCCTCACCCGGTGGCTGGGTATCGAACCAGCGCTGCAGAGGCTGCAGGCAGCTTCGCAACCCAGCGCTCAACTGCTGCGCCACCAGGGAGGCCCCTTCATGCCATATTTTAAAGAGCATGTAAAAGTGTCACTCATTTTGGAGATTTAAGGTGGGGTTGTTCTTTTTGTTTTTTGGGTTTTTTTGGTGAGATTGCTTTATACCTTTACTTTCGCAACTAATGTTCTGATATTAAGGTAGCAAAATTTTTCTCTAATTTCCTTTCAAGGTTGCTCAAGAAACAGATGTTAGAGCCCAGATTCGTCTACAGTTTCGTGATGTCAATGGAGAACTTATAGCTGTACAGAGATCTATGGTGTGTACTCAGAAAAGCAAAAAGTTAGAATTCCATACCCTGGAAGGAGTCATTACTAGAACAAGGTACGTGTCCGTTTTATATTTGAATGTCTGTTTATTTTCTGGTTTTTAGGTCTGTAAGACTGTCTTTTTCCTACTTGTTTGTTTTATGGAAGCATATTAATTTCTTTTAACAGACTTTATTTTTTAGAGCAGTTTCATGTTCTCACCAAAACTGAGGAGGAAGTAGCGTTCCTATGTACTCTCTGTTCCTATATACATAAACACCACCTGCCACCCCACTACCAACATTTAACTCAAAAACAAAAACACCTTAATAGTACTTTACAATGCTGTGTAAGTTTCAGGTATATGGTTTCACAGCTCAGCAACTGTGTATACCACACCATGCCCTCCAGCAGCTGTCTTTCCCTCCACCTCCAACCAGTCGACCTCCTCTCTGTGATCCCCCACATATACACATAACCTCCCCTCTGGTAACCACCATTCTGTTACCAGAGTCTAAGGATTTGTTTTGTTTTTGTTTTAATTTTGTTTGTTCCTTTGCTTTGTTTCTTTATATTGCATATATGAGTAAAATCCAATGGTATTTATCTTTTCTCCTTCTGACTTTGCTTAGCATAATCTCCTCAAGATACATTCATGTTGTCACAACTAGCAAAATTTTAGCCCTTTTTTAATAACTGAATAGTATTCCATTGTGTATCTATACCACATTTTTATCCATTCATCTTTTAGTAAACATGTAATTTGTTTTCATATCTTGGCTGTGTGAATGCAGTAAACATAAGCTTGCATATAACTTTTTGGATTACTAGTTTTATATTTGGATAAATACCAACAAGTAGAACTGCTATATTTTTTGTGGCTGGGTCATATTGTAGTTGTGTTTTTAATTTTTTGAGCAACCTCCATACTGTTTTGGCTGTACCTTCATAAATAGCTGTACCAATTTATATTCCTACCAGCCTTGCATGAAATTTCCTTTTTCTCCACCTCCTAGCAACACTTGTTCTTTCTTATCTTTTTGATAACAGCCATTCTAATAGGTGTGAGGTGAAATCTCATTTTGATTTTGATGTGCATTTCCCTAATGATAAGCAATGAAGAACATCTTTTCATGTGTCTGTTGGCCATCTTTATATTTTATTTGGTGAATGCTTTTTTGGATCCTGTGCTTTTTAATTGGGTTTTGTTTTTGTTGACTTGTATGAGTTGTTATATATATTGGATATTAATCTCTTGTCTGATACAAGGCTTGCAAATACTTTCAGTGAGAAGGGGGTGCCTTTCATTGTGATGATGGTTTCTTTCACTGTGCAGCAGCCTTTTAGTTCATAGTGATCCCCCCTTTTTTAAATTTTCTTTTTTTCCTTTGCTGTTGGAGATAAATACCAAGACATCTGTAAGACCGATGTCAAAGAGCTTTATCACTCGATTTTGACCATATATTCAATTCTTTTGCATTTGTGTTTGTATATGTTATAAAATAGTTGTGTAGTTTTTTTCTTTTGCATGTGGCTACCCAGTTTTCCCATTTATTGAAAAGACTGCTTTCTCCAGTGTATGCTCCTGACTCCTTTGTCATGAGCTAGTTGCCTGTAGTTTTCTTTTTTGTGTGTGATGTCCTTGCCTGGTTTTGGTATCAAGGTAATGCAGATCTTATAAAAGGAGGTATGAAGTGTTCCCTTGTCTTTGATTTTTTTAGAAGAGTTTGAGAAAGATGGGTATTAGATCTTCCTTAATCATTTGGTAGAATTCCCCAGTGATGTTTGGTTTTTTTTTTTTTTTAAATGGAAATTAATTCTGTTTTTAATTTTCAGAAGTGAAAAAACTAATATTTTTAAATAAACTGTTAATAAGACTTTGTTGATATATGGCAAGCCTTACAACATTCTTTTTTCCTTGAAAATGCTCAGACATACTTGCATTGCATTCTTTAGAAAATATATAAAAGGTACAGTGAAGTACAACTTTGTACCACATCCATGTTTTTTCATTGAAATAATTGTACTTTCATTTTTAGTTTCCACGAATAAAACCTATCACTTCTCACAATGAAAAAGTGGGGGGTGGGGGGCGAAACACTAAAAGCTAACCTAAAATCATGTACCTCCTTTGTCAAAAAGTAACAGATTAGGTGTGGTACATCAATACAACAGTCACTTTTAAAAAAAAAAAATTAACTATTTTTTTTAAAGATTTGTTTATTTATTTATACAAGCACTGGGTACAGTCAGAAGCGTGGGAGGGTGAGAGAATTCACCAGAGCGGGGAACAGAACAGGCAGAGTGATGAAATACACAGCTGAGGGGAGCAGTGGGTGCAGCAGGAGAGGTCTGTCGCGCCTCTTTATTTATTTATTTTTTTTAATATAAGAGCTGGGGTACAGGCCAGAGGCGTGGGAGGGTGAGAGGACGCACCAGAGACAGAGCAGAGAGCAGAACAGGCAGACAACTGAAACACACTACTGAGGGGAGCCGTGGGTGCAACAGGAGAGGTCTGCCACGCCATGTGGGAATCTCCTTGGCTGGCAGGGAATGAACCCGCGCTGCAGAGGCTGTGGGCAGCCTCACAGCACTGTGCTCAACCCACTGTGCCACGAGGGAGGCCCATTTAACTCTACTTCAAAGATAATAAAATAAATGCCCAATCCATCAGTATACATTTTTCCTATTTTGCAAGGAAAGAAAATAGGCTCAGTGTTTAAGAGGAAGTCTAGTGACAAGTTATTATAGAAAAACAATTTTGTGGGTCTCCCTGGTGGCGCACGGGGTTAAAACACAAACTATGGGGCTATCTGCAGCCTCTGCAGCACGAGTTTGATTCCCGGGCAGGGAGCTACCCACATGGCGCAGCAGACCTCTCCTGACTCACCTGCTCCTCCTCTCAGCAGTGTATTTCAGTCTGCTTATTCTCCCCACTCTGTCTCTGGTGAATGGTCTCACCCTTCACACCTCTGGCCTGTATTCCAGTTCTTGTCTGCACAAATAAATAAATCTTTTTTTAAAAAAAAAAAAACAGTTTTGCTATCATCACTGCTCAAGAAGACCCTTTTAGAAAACAGGTTGCTCACTATTCTCTAAAAAAAGGGATTAAGTGATAAGTAAATGTGAAGAAAAAAATTAAAACATCCCCAGTAAAAGGTGTTGCAAAGAATGTTTACATGGCTTCCTCTAAACAGAAAAGGTACCTGAATAAAAGCTCCCCCCAGAAAAAAAAAAAACATACAAAAGAAAAAAAAAAACTCACTAGAAAAGATAAATTTACAGTAATGATGAACATTAAGGGCCTCCCTGGTGGCGCAGGAGGCTGAGCGCAGTGCTGTGAAGCTATCTGCAGCCTCTGCAGTGTGGGTGGGATCCCAGCCGGCCGGAGTGATACCCACATGGTGCAGCAGACCTCTCCTGTCTCGCCCGCTGCTCCCCTCAGCAGTGTATTTCAGTCAGTCTGTCTGTTCTGTTCCCTGCTCTTTTTCTGGTGAATCCTCTCACCCTTCCTCGCATCTGGCCTGTACCCCGGTCCTTGTATAAATACATCAATCTTTAAAAAAAAAAAAAGAGTGAACAATGAAAGAAAAGAGCAGTAAAATTAACTAAAGCTACAACATTTAATCAAGGGAAATAAATAACAAAGATGTAAAATAATACATCAAAATGTAAAAAAATGAAACAAGAGTAAAAATGTAAAGATTTGAAATGTGTTCAAATATAAGTAAGCAATCAATGCAAATGGAACAATATATACATAAGATGATATGATGTTATAAGGTGTTATAACATCTTATGTTATAAGATGTAAGATGTTATATACCTAAACTTCACATTAACAACAAAGCAAAAACTTAAGAGTACAAACACAAAAGGAAACACTTCACTACTTCTTTTTTTTTTTTAAAAAAAAAGATTTATTTATTTATTTATACACGCACTGGGTACAGTCAGATGCACAGGAGGGTGAGAGAATTCACCAGAGCCAGAGAGGAGAATCACCTACTTCTTATCCCCCACACCTAGCAACCACCAGTCTGTTCTCTGTATCTGTGAGCTTGGGGTTTTTTGTTTTAAGACTGCATATATACTATTTGTCTCTTTCTGCCTTACTTTTCTTAGCATAGTGCCCTCAAAATCCATTCGTGTCACAAATGGCAAGATTTTCTTTTTTTTGTGGTTGAATAATATCCTCCCAAATGTCTATGTGAGTATGTGCAGCCCATGCGTGCCCACACCTTTTCCTATCCATTTATCTATTCGTGGATACTTGGGTTGCTGACCCATGGCCACTAATGCTTCTCTCATTTCCTAGCAGTTCTTTAAAAGAAATCTCAGATTCAGCATGTTTAAAACCAAGCTTGCAATCTTTTCCTTTTGACTCCCCTTTAAAAACATCCCACAACCTGCAGTGCTTCTCATTTCAGTGAGTGACACCATATCTATCCAGTGACACAAGCCAAGAGCTTGAATCTTTCTTTATACTTCCCTGCCATATGTACCCAGTCCTGTAGAGTTAACCTAAATGTCTCAAGTCTGTTTCTCTCCATCTTATGATAACCATCTTCTTTCTCTGGTCTAATGTAATAAACTCCTGATTGATCTGTGTCCATTTTTCCTCCCTGTGAAACATACTCAGTACATTCAGTGTAATACATATAGACATTGTCTCTACCTGCTTAGTCAAGTTGCTGATAGATACTAGATAGAAGATAAGAAAGAAAATGTTGAATTTATCCATCTGATGAACGATGTAAGAGATCTCTCAGAATCCAAGGACGGGGATGCGCCTGATCCTAGATATAGTGATGTAAGGAACTCATTTCAAAGAACCTGAGGCAATTCTTTCTATTGGATTGTTTTGTCACTGTGACCCTAGAACTTGCGGTCTGCTGCTTAAGAATCGTCCCTGGATTTGCTTGGATGGGCACCACTAAAGTTTGCATTTACTCTTCATGTTACCTTATATCTGTTACTGAACAATCCCTTTTTTAAATTACACAGTCTTTAGCTACCTGCCTATCATGGTAGATCATTATGTTTTGTTAAGTTGCTTGGAGATGCAAGATTGTTTATTTTCCTCTACATATTATCTGTAAGTATTTTAAATCACTATATTTAAAAGTCCAGGTATATTTTGAGTAAATTCTGTCATCTTTTTCCTGTACCATTCTGCTTTACATACTTTCTCATTAGTGAACTGCTAAATAATTTAGGAATTACACCTTTTCACATAAGAAAGATATAACAGGGGATGGACGACAGGACTTTTCTTACTTTTAAAAAGTGCAACATGAAGGATTGGCTGAGCAATAGAAAAGGAATACATACATTTGGAGATTATCTTACATAAATTCTTGATTTTCATTTTCTGTAGGCATGGTGAAAAAGTCAGTCTCAGCTCTAAATGTGCAGAAATTGACCGGGAAATGATAAGTTCTCTAGGGGTTTCCAAGTCTGTGCTAAATAATGTCATTTTCTGTCACCAAGAAGATTCTAACTGGCCTTTAAGTGAAGGAAAAGCTTTGAAGCAAAAATTTGATGAGATTTTTTCAGCAACAAGGTTTGTAATCTTTAATTAAACTTTGTAGCCCATTAAATTATTGCACCATAGATGCAATTTGGATGCTTCTTTTTTAAAACAAAAAAGTTTAAAAGCAAAAATTTTACTTGTCATCATTACCTCTCACCAGAGCATCTACTTAGTGGTTTCCCTTTCTGTGCATGTTTACTTATCTGGTTGACAGTAGAAATGTAAATGTAAATTTCTGCTGTCCATGGTTAATGTCTTAAGGATTTTCTAAGGGATTAAAAACTATGACAGTATAATATTCCATTGTATCACTGCAGCATGTGTTACTTAGCCAGAAACTTGATTGTTATTTAATATCTTCAAAGGTACATTAAAGCCTTGGAAACACTTCGGCAGGTACGTCACACACAAGGTCAAAAAGTAAAAGAATGCCAAACAGAACTAAAATACCTGAAGCAAAATAAGGAAAAGGCTTGTGAGATTCGTACTCAGATTACTAATAAGGAAGCCCAGTTGACATCTTCAAAGGATATTGTTAAATCCTATGAGAACGAACTTGATCCTTTAAAGGTAATTTGATTTCTTGTATGTTAAGGGTAAAGTCATCTTTCACCATAGTAGCACTCATACAGAAAGAACTTTATTTTTACATGAATTTTAATGGTATGTATATTTTTAAAAAAATTACAGACTATATACTGTTATACTGTTATGATTAATGTCTTAGGTCTAAATCAGATATTTAGTCTTAAATTTGCCCAAAAAACTTAGATTTCAGAGTCAACAAATTTGTGGCCTAATATTAAATGAGTAAAATAGATGACTGGTTGTTAACTATCAGTGTAATGACCCAATCTTAACATTTCTGTATTTTTTAGGAGACGTTTTTATTGACAGACTTCTACGAAATTTTTATAATTTGCAGGATGTTCTTGGCATTGCAAATTTGTAATTGTTGGATAATATATTTGCAAGTGAATATTGCTTTTAAAACTCTGGCTTATAGCAAAGACCTTGAGGAAATCCCACTCTTACTCATTTTACAAGCATTTATGGAGTATTTCTTGAATGCCAGGGTATACTTCACTTAGGGCTATAGGTGTAAGGAGATTGCAACAATGTGCTTACTTGTAATGTAATCCTAGTCTAAATTCGTGAGAGCATTCTTGAAAATGACTGTTTCCTAGGTTTCCAATAATAGATTAAAAAATTTTAAATTAATGATTTTTTCTTTTAATTCACCTATAGATACTGATGTAGGTCTTTGGATTGTATACTAGCAAAGTTTTGGTTTTTGTTTCTGTCCCAGTGTATATTGACATTAATGTGTCCTTTAGTGACATTATTATTTTGTGCATAGTACTGTGGCAGCTGCTCTTGGAGATCAGAAAGCCAAAGACTTCGACTTTGCTTTTAAGGAACTTCCAAACTAGTTGGGGAAAAAAAGAGAATCCTTTCAAAGATAGTTAGGAGTATACAGTTTAGGAAATAGGTTTTTCTGTGAGTTAAAGATGGTAACTAACATAAATGAGGAGAAAGGAATAAAGTAGGCTTTATCAAAATAAAAATCTTTTTCTATTTTTTTAAAGATTTATTAATGCGTACAAAACTGGGGTACAGGCCATAGTTGTGAGGGGTAAGAGGATTCACCAGAGACGGAGTGGGAAACCGAACAGGCGGATCTACTGAAATACACTGCTGAGGGGAGCAGCAGGCGAGACAGGAGAGGTCTGCTGTGCCATGTGGGTCACCTCCCTGGCCAGGGATCGAACTCATGTTGCAGTGGCTGTGGATCGCTTCATAGTGTTGATATGCTTAACCCCTTGCACCACCAGGGAGGCCCCCAAAATAAAAATCTTCTGTTCTACAAACTATACTATGAAGAAAGCACATGACAATCCTTAGGATGGGAGAAAATATTTGCAAGTCATTTTATGATAAGGGACTTGTATATGAAACTTGCAAAGAACTCTTTTAACTCAGTAATTAAAAAAATAACACAATTTGAAAATGGGCAAAGAATCTGAACGGGTAATTCCCCACGGAAGCTCTATTTGTGTCCACTAAGCACTTGAAACAACGTTCAAAGTTCAGCAATATCAGGCAAATCAAGATCTCAATGAGCTGTCACTTCACACTAGCTAGAGCGGTTATAAAAACATACAATAGCAAGTGTTGTTGAGAATGTGAAAAAACAGAACCATCATGTATGCTGGTAGGAATGTAAGTAGTGCAGTCACTTTGGAAAACAATTTAGCTTCCTTAAAATGCTGAACATATGGAGCTATCATATGACCTGACTCAGCACTTCCTCAGTATTTTATAACCAAGAAAAATTAAAACATACGTCTACACAAAAATTTGTATAAGAATGTTCATAGCAGCCTTAACTGTTAGAGCCAAAAAGTGTGTACAACTCAAATGTGGCATAGCCATACATTGAAATATTAACAGCCATTAAAAATGAAAACAGCTCTGATATGTCCTACAACATACAAGAGCCCCCAGAATATTATGCTAAGTGACAGAAGCTAATTACAAAAGACCATGTATTTTGTGATTCTACTTAAAATATCAAAATGTTCAGACTAGGTAAATGTATAGAGATATAAAATGGATTAGTGATTGTCTCTATTAGAGGATAGAGAAGAATGAATAGCAACTGCTAATGGCTACAGTTCATTTTTGGAATTTGAAAATGTCTGAAAATTAGATTGTGGTGATGGTTGTACAACTCTGAATATACTAAAAACCATTAAATTGTACACTTTAAATGTATCTCAGTAAAGCTGTTTTTAAAAATGATAACTTTGAATAGAAGTAAATCATGAGCATTTCCAGGAGGAAGCAAGGCTGAAATGGACCATAAAGAATGGGAAAAAAATCAGATTGACAGACTAAAAGGCATTTTAAGTAGGCTTGTATTTATTTTTTTATTTTTTAAAGAAATACATATTTACAGTATAAAAAATTACAGATTAGTTGAAAATGATGCACTTCATTTCTGACCTCCCAGGTATATCCTACCAATAACTTATATAGACACATATATACAAACACAAATACACACACATAGATCAAACATACGTTTGTGTATGTGTACATATTTATACATAAAGCTAGTCAAAACAAGATTGTGCGAAGAAGCACACAATAAATAAATGGATTAAATAAATCAGGTTAAACAGAGTGGGAGATAAGAATTGGTATTAGATTATGGAGAGCGGAGTTTAAAATTTAGTTCAGTAGACAAAAAGGTGACAAAGTGTGTTATATTTTAGGATAAATTGTCCTGATAATTCTCTGTAGATACTGTGATAATTACCAAGATATTGGAACACATTTTATTTTCTTCGGGAATAGCCTACTTGAAAAGATGACAAGCCACACACAAAGACAGAAAAGAACTTTCTCTAAGAGCTCTGAGAAGGAAGAAAAGGAATTTCTGATTAAGGTGACCAAAAAGAATTTCATAGAACTGAATTTGGGATATGATTTTAATGATCATAATTGGGTAGATAATTAAGAGACACAGGGAGAGTATATTGTAAACTGTCTCTGAATACTAGCAAGGAAATCTCATGTCACACTAAACACTTAAGTTTTAAACACTAAACTTTTTTATTGTCTGCAAAGAGGTGGTGTGCTCTGGGGTTTAAGCTGAAATACAGATATCAAAGAAGGCATCCACAGGACCTGGTGACTGGTGGTATTTAAGGAATGAAGCAACTAAAGATATCACAAAAGATTCAACCCATTAATGTTAATGCTGCCAAGAGGCAGTGAAAACACAGAGAGAAGCCAATCAATTTCTGAGAAGTAGAGTACCATAGCTGAAGTGTTAAAATTCAGTGCTCTTAAGAAATCCATTCCGGGGCCTCCCTGGTGGTGCAAAGGGTTAAGACGCAACCTATGAAGCTGTCTGCAACCACTGCAGCATGATTTCGATCCCCAGCCACGAAGATACCCACATGACACATAAGACCTCTCTTGACTCACCTGCTGCTCCCCTCAGCAGTGTATTTCAGTCAGTCTGCCTGTTCTGTTCCCCACTCTGTCTCTGGTGAATCCTCCACCCCCACACCTCTGGCCTATACCCCTGTTCTTGTATGCGTAAATAAATCTTTAAAAAAAAATCAATTCAGTTCTCTGTGTTTAACTGCTCGAAAGATATTTTTTGAGCACAGAATTTTTTTCACAGGTGATATAAATGACCTGAAGGTGTATTTATGCTGATTGAAGCTCTTTAAAATGCATTTGTAAGCTCTTTAAAATGCATTTGTAAGCTCCATAGTAACCATGTGACATTTTAGAAACAACAAAATGAGGAACAGGTGTTCACATTGGAATAAGGAATAATGCTGGGATTTACATATAGGAAAAAAGCCACCCTTTTAAAGTGTATAGTTGAATGTGTTTTGGACAAACACATACAGTTGCCTAACTACCAATACAGTCAAGATATGGAACATATCCATCACCCCAGAAAATTCTCTCAAGGTTCTTTGTCAGTTTCCTTGGTACTCCCAGCCCTTGGTAATCACTGATTGGTTTTCTGTCAGAGTTTTGTCTTTTCCAGAGTGTCACATAAATGGAATTATATATCATGCTGCCTTTTGTGTCTGGCTTGTTAGCATAATGGTTTTCCTTTTATGTTCTTGCACATAATGAGTGGTTCATTACCTTTTATTGCTGAGGATATTCCCTTATATGATGTATTGCAGTTTGTTCTCTGTTCCTTGGTTGATGGATATTAGGTTGTTTTCCAGCTTTTAGCTCTTAACACGTAAGACTGCTCCGAACTTTTGTATACAGGTCTTTGTTTTGAGATATGTTTTTATCTCTCTTGAGTATCTCCCTGGGAAATTTGCTTCAGTTCTTAACGCATTTTCATCTAAGTGTATTCCCCATTTCAGGCTAATTTTTGAATATGGTATGAGGTTAACGTTGAGCTTTATTCCTTTGCTTACAAAAATACAATTATTCCAGCACTTGGAACCTGTGGTCTTAGCCAATATACCACGCTGCTGTCCAGTTTTATCTCTCGTTGTTAATTATGTGGTTTTTGTACAAGTTAAGTCGTACAAATTAAGTCTTATGTTTAGTGAGTAGTTTCATAAAGATAAAACAATGTATAGCAGCACCTGCTACAATGTCTGCAACGTAGTAGGCATCCAGTCATTGATAGGTATGACCATTATTGGTAAAATAATTTTTTCACATCTTTCATTCAGCTAATATATTGAACATCTATTACATGGAAGATTATACATTAATGAACAAAGTAAACAAAATTGCTATTTTTATGTTGATTATATACTACTCAATATATAAACCACAAGGTATTAATAGTAAATGAGATTAAAGTTGGGGATGCTTTTTGATGGAGCTATGAAAGCATACAGTTGGTGTCTGAGTACTCTGTTAATGTGTTAAATTAAAAATGTCTAAATGTCTTAGAAAAGATGGCGGTGAGCCTTAAAATCATAGATGCCATTCCTGGAAAAGTATCCTCAGTATCATCTAAAGAGAGAATAGTCTGAGCTAGTTTACACATATTCCTAGGAAATGAGGCAACCAGCCGTCCCTACAAGCAGGCCAGTAAAATCATTATCACATTTCACTTGTTCAGAGTCATTTTTGGATTAAAGTATAGTCTTCAATGGCTCAGAGAGCACTAGTGGCTCACCAGAAGTTTACAGCCGTCTTACTAGTTCTTACAAGGATTAAATTCTTAAAATGTGGTACTTTACATAAAATGACTCTGAATGGCCTATTGAGAGGTGTTGAGGACAGGTCATGGCTTTGGAGTTAGAAGTGGAATTTAATTCCTGCTTTTCTTAATTTGTTCCTAGACTTTGGGCAAGTCAATGTCTCTGTTCTTCAGAGTCTCTATTCCCCTTTTACAGCGTTGTTACTATTAAATGAGAGCATTTTTACTGAAAGCCATACCCTGGTAATCTTACTTCTCTTCATTTAAGGGTAAACTTAGTGGATTTTATTTATTTAGAGTGTTTTATTTTCAGAATCGTCTAAAGGAAATCGAACAAAATCTCTCTAAAATAATGAGACTTGACAATGAAATTCAAGCCTTAGATATCCGAAAGAAACAAATGGAGAAAGATAATTGTGAACTGGAACAGAAAATGGAAAAGGTTTGTGGTAGTAGAATTTTGTTCTACTTCAAATTTTTGAGAATATTGTGATGCCATTAACATTTAAAAAGCAATAAATACTGATATTTATGTTACTTTTGTGTTAAAATGAACCAAAGAAATTTTGATTATTATTTTGTATCTTAATAATATCTTCTTGTACTTATTCATTAAAGTTTCTTTCTTTTTGGGAAAAAAAAATACAGGTTTTTCAAGGAACTGATGACCAACTTAGTGATTTATATCACAATCATCAGAGAACAGTACGGGAGAAAGAAAGGAGACTGGTCGACTGTCAGCGTGAACTGGAAAAATTAAATAAAGAATCTAGACTTCTAAATCAAGAAAAATCAGAACTTCTTATTGAACAGGGTAGGACAAAATATTTACTTGGTCTTTTTTCCTACTATAATATACATTTTCTTTTTTATGAGTCATGAATCTATAGGGAATTGAGCTTAGTGAATAAAGCTGATGTTAAAAGATTAATATGCAGTATATTTCCATTTATTTAACATTTTTGAAATGCTAAAATTTTAGAATTTGGAGGACAAGTTTGGTAGTTGCCAGAGTTATTGCATAGGAGGAGTGGCGAAGACAGTGTGGTTGTGGTTATAAAAACAATACGAAGGATTTTTATTATATTGGCAGTATTCAGTGTCTTTACTGTTGTGGGTGTATGAACCGTCTCAGGTGATAAAAGTGCATGAAATTTAATATATACACACATACATTGAAATGGATATGAGTAAAACTTGGGGAAATCTGAGTAACATTTGATGGACTGTATCAATCTCAGCATCCTAGTTGTGATATCATGCAGTAGTTTTACTAATAGTTTTTACTTTAAAAAAGTAAAAATAGTTTTTACTTAAAGAAAACTAGTTTTTTCTACTCACAATAATTCCGATACTAGATGCATGCGTTTTTCACACCACACAATTACAAAATTCTTGGCACACACTAATTGGGTATCTTACAGTTTAATTCAGTATTTACACTAACTGCCCAGACTCCATAGATTTAGGGTTCAGTCCTACAAGACTAACCCCATTTCAGATGCTGTTTGCAGTGCCCATATTATCTTCACCTTCTGACGAATCTGCTATAAAATCAGGGGTTTTACAGTTCAGGTTCTACAGTTCAATTTGTTATAATGACTTTCAGGACTCAAGGAGACACTCCTATAACTAGTTTGTTACAAAGGATACAGCTCAGCTCAGGGCAGGTATGGGAAGAGGCATGGAGCTTCCATGCTTCCTCTGGGTGGTACTCTCTCTCAGAACCACAATGTGTTCCCCATCCTAGAATCCCTCTGAACCCCTATTTTTAGGATTTTTATGGAAGTTCTGTTATGTAGGAATGATTAATTAAATCACTAGCCATTGGTGATTGAACTCAATCTCTAGTCACTTCCCAGAGTTGGGGGGAGGGGCTTGGTACTGAAAGATCCTAATCTATACTCACATGGGTCATTCCTCTGACAACCAGCTGTTAACCTCCAAGAGTCACTTCAATAGAATAAACTCAGCAGTGACTGAAAGGGACTTAACTGTGAATAACAAAAGATGTTTCTCTTACCTCATCACTCAGAAATTCTAAGCATTTAGCAGCTTGTACCAGGAACCAGAGATGAAAAACCACATTTGTATTTCTCATACCATATCAGAGTTACTATTGGGGGAAACTGGGCAAAGGATATAAGAGATCTTACTGTATTGCTTTATATAACCATTATATGTATCTGCATTATCTCAATTTTTTAAAAATCTGCTGGAAAAAAGTTACCATGGTTGTGCTTTTTATAGGTCGTCTACAGCTACAAGCAGATCGCCATCAAGAACATATCCAAGCTAGAGATTCATTAATTCAATCTTTGGCAATACAGCTAGAATTGGATGGCTTTGAGCATGGGCCATTTAGTGAAAGACAGATTAAAAATTTTCACAAACTTGTGAAAGAGAGGCAAGAAAAGGAAGCAGAAACTGCCAGCCATCTGATGGTAAATATTGTTATTTACCATTGTAAATAACAGTGGTAATTGTTATAATTTAGGGGTAGACCCCATTTTATTCTTTTGGATTAGTGTTAGAATTGCCATGGTGAAGTAGAAAAAACCTTTATGGAAGCAATATGTAAAATTTATAAGGATAAAACTATGAAGGAAATGCAGACCTACCTTTAAAATTTGATATTTCTTTTTAAAGCTGATTGTAAAGAAAAATCTGTTCAAAGTTAATGCTTATCTCTGGGTGATAGTCATTATATATTTTTTATATTTCTCTGTATTGTCCTCAGTATACATGTGTTACTTTGCAGTGCAGAAACTTTTTCTTAATGAATTACTAAATTAAAAAATTATTACATGTTTGTTCTTTACATATGCATTTAGGATGACTTTGCAGAAAAAGAGACTCTGAAACAAAAACAGATAGATGAAATAAGAGATAAGAAAACTGGACTGGGAAGAATAATTGAGCTAAAATCAGAGATCCTAAGTAAAAAGCAGAATGAACTGAAAAATGTGAAGTCTGAATTACAACAGTTGGAAGGATCTTCAGACAGGATTCTTGAACTGGACCAGGAGCTCACAAAAGCAGTATGATATTATTTTGAATAATAATTTTAAGATATAAGACATTTAGAATCTTGCAATTAAAGTTTTTATCTGTTGTTAATAGTAATACTATGGAATTTCAATTGAAATCTCAACCTTGTCTGTTAATCTTGCATGAAATAAATTCATATAAGCTGCATATCTTGTCATTCAACTATTTGATTCTGGAACCTGATGATTGGAAATTAGAATCATCTATGACAGTTTCTCGTAAGAGTGAGGCATAGAGATGTGTGGTCAAAACAAGGTGATTCCTATGAGTTTGTTGCTTAACAACCACTTAATGAAGTTTAAAAAGAAACAAGTATTTTCCATTCAGGTTCCATACATTATGTATTTTACATGATAACCATTATGTATTTTACATTATGTATTTTACATGATAACCATTTCTACTTCACCACTTTTTCCATGGTAGAAACTTTCTTTAACCCATCTTTTCATGAATTTACAATTTTTCTACCTTGTTTCTAATCTGTCTCCTTCACAATCTCCAACACCAAAGTAAGCACTGTAAAGTTTTGGAAATCTCCCTCTCGATCCCATCTGGATAATTTATCATTTACTTTTCTCTCACCATCTAGCATACACTTTCCTCACTTTAGCACTTTATCACAATGTTGCTTTGTTGAGATGGAGGCACCAGTGAGAGATCACATCACTCTGTTGTAGTTTATGTATACCAGGCAATATAATGAGTTACATGGGTACTTGACACATAATTGTTGAAGTCATTAGCTATATGTTTGGATATATTGCAAACTCCGGATTTATCAAATCTCTACCATTATCCCATTAATTATAATTATATAATTCTTTGCCAATAAAGTATAACTTTATTATATTTTCTTTAAAAATCTTAGGGTTTTTATGTTTTTTCCCCGCATTAGAAAAATGTAAACAATATTTTTGCCATTTTGAGGATTTGGTTTCTAGTATACTGTTGCTTTTTTTAACGCAAAATATATAAACCCATGGATTTGTCTGAATTATTGATAAGGCACGTGAACTAAGCAAGGCTGAGGAAAACAGCAACATCGAAACATTAAAAACAGAAGTAACAAGCCTTCAAAATGAGAAAGCAGATCTAGACAGGGCCCTGCGTAAATTGGACCAGGAGATGGAGCAATTAAACCATCATACGACAACACGTACCCAGATGGAGATGCTGACCAAAGACAAAGTATGGCTTTTCTATTTTTGTTCTAATTATACTTTCTGATATTTAAAATACCGTATCTTAACTTCATAACTGATACACTGTGAAGTGTTTAGTTAGTATTGGCTTTATATTTCAGAGGCTAAATGAAGTTAATACTCTAAAATACTTTGAAGCTTAAAAACTATTTTCCAAGGACAAAGATTTAATAAAACAGGAATATATAGGGCCTCCCTGGTGGCGCAGGCAGTTGAGCGCCTCACTATGAAGCTGTTTGCGGCCTCTGCAGTATGGGTTCGATCCCTAGCTGGCCGGCGAGAATCCCACATGGTGCAGCAGACCTCTCCTGTCTCGCCCGCTGCTCCCCTCAGCAGTGTATTTCGTCAATCTGCCTGTTCTGTTCCCCACTCTGTCTCTGGTGAATCCTCTCACCCTCCCACACATCTGGCCTGTACCCCAGCTCTCGTATAAATAAAATAAATCTTTAAAATTAAAAAAATCAAAACTTACTTAAAAAAAAAAACAGGAATATAAACACAAGCACCTATATGTGCAGTGCTGTTATATGTAATAAAGAAGTTTTCTTGTATGATCAGACTCATTATATATTAAAAAGGTCATCTTTACTCTGTGAGCTTAAGAAATTTTATGTTTTCTTATATTTTTATAGTACTGTTTTTAAGCTTAGAGCTTTAATCTGGAGTTTTTTGATATAATGTGGAAATAGTGAGCTTTATTCTTTAAGCATTTTTTTTCTATAGGTTGACAAAGATGAACAAATCAGAAAAATAAAGTCTAGACACAGCGATGAATTAACTTCTTTGTTAGGGTATTTTCCCAACAAAAAACAGCTGGAAGACTGGCTTCATAGTAAATCAAAAGAAATTAATCAGACCAGAGACAGACTTGCCAAGTTGAAGTAAGTAATTATAATATTAGGTGGTGATACACTAGAAATCTGTTTCTTGCTTTCACTTTAAATGGTTAAAATGATGTGTTTTCATGAGATGATATATCTTGTTTACTGTATTTGTGAGACCTGAAACTATAAAACTCTTAGAAGAAAACATAGGGAGAAAGTGTTATTATAGTGAATTGGCAATGATTACTTGAATATGACACGAAAGAACAGGACTACAGCAAAAGAGACAAATGAAACTACATCACACTTCAAAACTTCTACACATTAAAGAAAACTATTCAGGAAAAAGGCAACTCTACAGAATGGGAAAAAATATTTGCAAATGCTATCACTTAATTACTAATCAAAACATTTAAAAAACTGTAACTCAACAACAAAACAAAAACTGATATAAAAAAATGGCCAAGGGGTTGAATGGATATTTCTCCAAAGCATATATTCAAATAGACAATGAGTATATGAAAAAATGCTAAATATCACTAATCATCATGGAACTGCAAATCAAAACCACAGTGACATACCACATTACAGTGGTTAGAATGACCACTATCAAAAAATAGAAAAAACAAGTGCTGGTGAGAATGCTGAGAAATTGGAGGAATATACACTGTACACTGCTGGTATGATGTAAAATAATGTAACTGCTGTAGAAAATTAAATAGTATTACTTTTAATAATTCAGATGATCCAGTAATTCCACTTCTGAGTATCTATTGAAAAGATTGGAAACATGATCTTGAAGAGAGATTTTTCAAATCCATGTTTGTTTTAGGATTTTTCATAATAAGAGGTGTCAGCAACCTAAATATCCATCAGCAGATGAATGGATAAAGAAAATTTGGTGTATAGTGTTATCTATGGAATATTATTCAGCTTTTAAAAAGGGAGAGAATCCTATCATATGCTACAACTTGGATGAACCTTGAGGAAGTTATGCTAAGTGAAATAAACTAGTAACAAAAAGGCAAAGACTGCATGATTCCACTTAAGATATTTAAGTAGCCAAATTCTAGAAACAAAGGAAAATACTAGTTGCCAGTGGGCGGAAGCAGAAAGAGACAGCGAAAGGAGAATTGCTGTTAACTGGATATAGGATTTCAATTTTGCAAAACAAAATGGTTTTGTTAGTGATACTTTGCATGACTGTGTACATAGTTAACACTATTATACACTTAAAAATGGCTAAGATGGTAAAGTTTGTGTTTTTACAACAATTAAAAAAAAGTGACCAGTTTATCAAATGTCATCTTGCAAGGTGTTTGGATAAGAGGATTAAAATTCCACAAAGATTTTTACAGAAGATAGTGAATTTGGCTTTGGTTAACTAAGATTGGTGGAGGGGTGTGTGTGTGTGTGTGTGTGTAAATGTCCGTTAGGGAATAGAATATTGGAGTTTGATGTTTGAAATACTGGCAGTTGTTGCTTTGTAAGTGATAATTGGCAATACGGGCCATGTCACCTGAAAGGAGTACGTGAAGAGAAATGAAAGGGTGATAGAGTCCTGGGAAACACCAACTTTAAAGTGTTGGTGGACAACTTAAAGAAACTGGGACTTGCCCGAGGGGGCCAAAGTTGTTCATGATAATCAGTGTTCGGTGGAGGCTAGGATGGTGAAAGCACTGTCTGCATTATGTTTTTTACATATTTTTACTGTGACTTCATGGTACGTATCAAAATGAAATAGGTGTATACTCACACACTTATCTAAAACAAATTTCTAAAAATAGTAGCTGTCCAAACTGCACAGTCTGCTTCAATATATTGTTTTGCTGCATTTTAAAAAATATACTAAATATAGTACATTGAATTGATTTTATATATATATACACACACATACACACATATGACTTGCCTAGTAATAACCTGCAAATTGAAAAACCTTGATCTCTGTGGACATGGAGGTTTGCAGGAAAATTTTGAAGGTTGGGGTGGACATAAATTGTGCTAATGATCAAAATCTTTGAAGAATGAGATGTAGTGAATGGTCAGGACATAAGTAGATGATAACAAAAAGTACAAAGGAAGTGTTTTTAGAGGAGGGAAGGGAAGTAATACTGTAAAGAATCCAAAGGGAGTTAGGAGAATAGTCTTCTCTATTCTTTCCCTTCAGTAGATTACACAAGGATATTCATATCTTGCTGAGGTGCTTAACCCAGAATCTAGGCCATGAGTCCCAGAAACCATACATAATTTTTCCCTGTGCACATTTTTGTCTAGGGGCAGAGCAATGACCAGCATTGGTAGGTGAATCAGTGTCCTGGGAGGTGAGTTAAGGGGAAAATGAATTATTGCCATGATTTCTTAAAAATATGCCCTTGTTGGGGCCTCCCTGGTAGTGCAGGGGGTTAAGCGTCAGCACTATGAAGCTATCCGCAACTATTGCAACATGAGCTCTATTCCCGGCCAGGGAAGAACACGTGGTGCAGCAGACCTCTCATGTCTTACCTGCTGCTCCCCTCAGCAGTGTATTTCAGTCAGTCCACCTGTTCTGCTCCCCGCCTATGTCTCTGGTGAATCCTCTCACCCCCATACCTCTGGCCTGTACCCCAGCTCTTGTATGCATAAATCTTTTTTAAAAAAGCACTTCTTGGGCCACCCCGGTGGCGTAGCGGTTGAGCGCTGGGTTGCGAAGCTGCCCGCGGCCTCTGCGGCGCCGGTTCGATCCCCGGCTGCTCCCCGGCCACCGGAGGAGGGTCCCACATGGCACGCAGACCTCTCCTGCCGCCCGCTGCTCCCCTCAGCAGTGTGCTTCGGTCCTTCTGCCTGTTCTGCTCCCTGCTCTGGCTCTGGTGAATTCTCTCACCCTCCCGCACTTCTGACTGTACCCAGTGCATGTATAAACAAAAACAAACAAACAAACAAATAAATAAAACATGCCTCTATAAAATAAATAAATAAATAAAAATTAAAAAGCACTTCTTCACAACATGCCTTTGTTGTATTTATTGGGAAGATTTGTCTTCTAGCTACTAAAACTTTCCAGATTAATTTCTTAGGTTTTAAAATTATAATTCATATTTGTTCTTATTTTAGCAAGGAACTAGCTTCAGCTGAACAAAATAAAAATCATATAAATAATGAGTTGAAAAGAAAAGAAGAGCAATTGTCCAGTTATGAAGACAAGCTATTTGATGTTTGTGGTAGTCAAGATTTTGAAAGTGATTTAGATAGGCTTAAAGAAGAAATTGAAAAATCATCAAAACAACGAGGTAAATACTACTTTTTATTATCAAGGCACTTAGACACTTTTCAAATTTTTAATCACAGTTAACTATTAAGGATGGAAGATTTTTAAACTTGATTCTGGGTTTTTAACTTAAACATATGCTGTATGATCATTTTGCAGTATATACAAATATTGAATAATTCTGTGTACCTAAAACTAGTGTTATATGTCAATTATACCTCTATAAAAATTAATTTAAAATTCAATCATAGTTCTACAACTTATTTGCTGCGGGACTTTATTGAAATCATTTTATATATGTCAAATACATATCTGAAGAAATGATAACTCTCAAGGTGTTATGGACATATAAATAAGTTTATAGGTATAAAACTCTTTGACTGGCATATAGTGAGGTCTAAAATTTTGTTACACTTTTTGTGTGTTACCAAAAAATAATTTGTGCATATCTGCAAGTATTGTGGTCTTTAGAAAATTTAAGTATCAGAGAATTTTTATTTTTTTCATAATGTTATAAAGCATGAAGAATCACCAAATATTTAAAGGATGAAATCATATCAACAAAACTATATCTTTGTTTTCTCACTGGGAATATATTTTTTTTAAATAGCCATGCTGGCTGGAGCCACTGCAGTTTACTCCCAGTTTATTACTCAGCTCACGGATGAAGACCAATCATGTTGCCCTGTCTGTCAGAGAGTTTTTCAAACAGAAACAGAGTTACAAGAAGTCATCAATGATTTGCAGTCTAAGCTACGACTTGCTCCAGATAAACTCAAGTCAACAGAATCAGACCTAAAGAAAAAAGAAAAACGACGTGATGAAATGCTGGGACTTGTGCCCATGAGGTAAAAGTAGGGATTGGTCATTACTGTGCTTGGAACAGTGCACTGTAAAAGGTGCCCATCCAGTGTCTGGCATATGGGAGGTACTCAGTAAGCATGTGTTGAATGAAAAAAAGGGTCAAGTCAGGCTGAGTTATTATGCCTTAATTTGTTATTTTTGTGATAAGATGAAACAGTGGTTTTGTTTAAAGGTAAGTTTGTGTCTTACTAGTCATAGGGCAGATATAATCTACAGTTTTTTGTTAGTGTTTTTTAATTCCTGAGACTACTTGAGGGCATAAATTTTAAGTTTTAGAACTCTTTGCTATTATATATCACTTTCAAAATCCAGCAAATAATTAAGTACTAAAAACTTAATTGTATACTAAGAGGCAGTTTTTCAAACCATTCTTTTATCTTTCCCTCTTTCAAAAAAGAATGAATCACGTGTGATTTCTATTGTTTATTTTTCCCTCACTTGTACCAGAAAATCTGATGATGTTTAAAAAAAAAAATCAGAAAGTATGCATGACCCTCAAGGAACTCGTCTAAGGAGATAAGCTCTCAGAATTACCTTTCACAAAGCTGGGTTTAATGAAATGCTTAATTGGCTCAAACAAATACCTTGGTTAAAAAGAGAGAAACGAGTGGACTACAGAATGAGAATAGAATTTTGAGGACAATGTGGGAGGAGGAATGAAAAGCATTAGGGAAGTTGGTTTGACTCAGTTAAGAGAAGGAAAGGGGACAGGGAAATCAGAAAAGCATTGTAATGGGAAGGACAGTGTGACCTAAGCTGCAATGGAAATGCTTTCTGGAGTTTGAGGGATTATTTGTAGGGATTTAGTCCCACAAATTGGGAACATTGTGTTCAAACCTAGTTACAACTCTCTGACAGACAATGAGGTGCCATCCTAGGGGATTTAACAAAACGTGTTTTAGGAAAATTAATGTTAAAATACTGAATAAATGTGAGGAAAATTTTGGAGCAGAAAAACCGGGTCTGCATATTGTCCTGGAAAAACAAGGAGGAGATGGTCCTCCCCGGTGGCGCAGCGGTTGAGCACTGGGTTGGGAAGCTGCCCGAAGCCTCTGCAGCGCCGGTTCGATCCCCGGCTGCTCCCCGGCCACCTGAGGAGGGGTCCCACATGGCACGCAGACCTCTCCTGCCGCCCGCTGCTCCCTCAGCAGGTCCTTCTGCCTGCTCTGCTCCCTGCTCTGGCTCTGGTGAATTCTCTCACCCTCCCGCGCTTCTGACTGTACCCAGTGCTTGTATAAATCAATCAATCAATCTTGAATAAATAAATCTTTAAAAAAAAAAAAAAAAACAAGGAGGAGTTTCAGGAAAAGAAGGAAGGTCTAAGATGTGCTTTGGGAATCCAGATTCCTAGGTAGTCCCAATGATCCCTATTTCCTGGTATTCATACGCTTGTATAGTTTTCTCTCATATTGCTCCTGGATTAGTTTGTATAACCAATAAAACATGACAGGAAAAAATGAAAGAGGAGAAATTAACATAGATGGCATGGAAATACAAAAGATGATCTAAGAGCAATTAGATGATCTATGAACAATTAGATGCCAATAAATTTGATGACCTTTAAGAAATGGAAAAATCTCTACAACAATATAGTTTACCAAGACTTATATAGGAAGAAACAGAAGAGCTGAATAAACCTGTCACAACCATGAAAATTGAAACAGTAATGGAAAGTCTCCCCCAAAACAATTGAAACCAGATTATAACAGCACAAGAAAACTACAGACCAAAATCCCTGGTGAGTATTGATGTGAAAATCTTCAACAGAATACTGGCAAATTGAATTCAACAGTATATTAGAAGGTTCAAGTGGGATTTACCCCAGGGGTAAGTAACTGCTTGCACCCAGGGGTGCAAGGGTGGTTTGATATATGTAAACCAGTCTGTGTAATGCATTATATATATCAACAAAAGAAAAGACTAAAAGGTCATATGATAATAGATGCAGACAAAGCATTTGATAAGATTTAGCATCCATTTATTTATGATAAGAATCCTGTAATCAAGATGGGAATAGAACGAACCTACCTCAACATAATATATATGATATGTATCATATATTATAAGCATACAGCCCATATAATACTTAATGCTGAAAAACTGAAAGTATTCCCTTTATGATCAGGATCAAGGCAAGAATGCCCATTGTTAATCACGTCTGCTTAATTCAATATTAGAGCTTTTAGCCAGAGCAATTCAGACAACAGGAAGAAAAATCTAGGTTGGAAAGAAAAGGTAAAATTAGCATTGTATGTAGACTATATGATACTATATATAGAAAATCCTAAAGATGCCATCAAAAAATTGATAGAAACAATGATGAATTCAGCAAATTGACAGGTCACAAAATCAACATAGAAAAATTGATTGCATTTTTATATACATACTATGAATGAGAAGAAAAAGAAAATAATTCCATTCAGAGTCTAGTCGAACAGAAGTAACTGCTTAGAAATTAACAGGGGAATGAAGGACTTACCTAGTAAAAAGTACAGGACATCATTAAAGGATATAAATGTTGACATAAGTAGATGGAAAGGGGAGAATCAATATAGTCAAAATGACTATCCTACCAAAAGTGATAAATCTTACACAATCCCTATTAAAACACCAACAATATACTTAAAAGAAATTGAACCCCCCCCAAAAAATCAAAATTTTATTGACCCCTAAAAAGCCTTGAGTGGCAAAGTCTATCTTGAGGGAAAAAAGAGAAATGGCATCAAATTTCTTCACTTTATACTATAAAGCAATCATACCTATATATGGTATTGGGTTAAAAGACATCTGGATCAGTAGAACAGAATCAAAAGCCCAGAAATAAGTCCATATATACCTCAAGTCTTAATTCATGGAGAAGGAGCTGCAATCATACAAGGGGAGAAAGGAGTCTCTTAAATAAATGGTCATGGGGTAAAAGAATGATTATTCTTGTGGGCCTCCATGGCGGCGCAGGCGGTTGAGCGCAGCCATGTGAAGCTGTCCTCAGCCTCTGCAGTGCCGGTTCAATCCCTGCTGGCCATGGAGCAACCCACATGGCGTAGCAGACCTCTCCTTTCTCACCCACTGCTCCCCTCAGCAGTGTATTTCAGTCAGTCTGCCTGTTCTGTTCCCCGCTTTGTCTCTGGTGAATCCTCTCACCCTCCCGCACATTTGGCCTGTACCCCAGTTCTTGTATAAATAAATCTTTAAAAAAAAAAAGATTATTCTTGAATAATCACTAAAATTAAGTCAGAGTGAATTAAGGAGTTATAAGATCTTCAACAATAAAACCTATAGGAAAAACAATGGTAGTATATTTTATAACATCAAATGATAAAGATGTTTTTGGAGTTTCATCCCCTAGAGCAAGGGAAATAAAAGCAAAAAAATAAAAGTTGGAATTACCTCAAACTAAAAAGCCTTTACAAAGCAAAAGGAAATGTAAGTAGACTAGATATCCTACTGAGAAAATATCTATGCATTGTACAACCAACAACAGGGTAATATCCAAGATGCACAAAGAAACTACCCAATTTAACAACAACAAAAAACCCAGTTAATATTGGACAGCAGATATGAACCAAAACTGGATCACCAAAATGGATTACTAGAAGGCCTATATATATGGGGAAATGTTCCTCACCCTCTTAATAAGAGAGATATAGGTCGAAATTAACACCTCATACCCGTGTGAATGGCACGTGTTAAACAGACCCCCAACCTGACTGGAGAGGGTGCCAGGAAAGAAGGATCCTATTACACTGTTGGTGAGAGTATAAGGTGGTATAGTCATCTGGGGACGTAGTCTGGATTTACTTTTAAAATAACATAGCAATCCCAATTTTTGGCATCTGTCTGAAGAACTTGATACCATCAACTCAAAAAATTATTTGCTCTACAGTGTTTATTTTTGTTACAGCATTATTTACAATATGTAAGACATGAAAACCAGCTAAGTGCCAAGTGATAGAGGACTGGATCAAGAAGATGTGGTATATCCATACAATGAAAAATTATTCAGTCTTAAGAAAAATGAAATGTTGCCATATGCGGCAAAATTGAAGGAGTTAATGATAAAGATATTGGACATTTACTTAGAACAGGTGATTAACAAAGCAAAATACTTATAAAAACTAGTAGACATTATTAAATGAAGGGAAGGAGGGAGTGGAGAGGGAGAAAGGGATGCAAGGGAGGATGATAGGAAAAATAACTAAAATACAAAAAAAAAACCAGAAAAGATAGAAGTGATAGCATGTCCCTTCAGGATTAGATTATATAAAGCTCTACGGCTTCCTGCTCTTTTTTTTTTTTTTTTTTTTTAAGATTTATTTGTTTGTTTGTTTATACAAGCACTGGGTACAGTCAGAATCGCGGGAGGGTGAGAGAATTCACTAGAGCCAGAGCAGGGAGCAGAACAGACAGACGGACAAAATACACTGCTGAGGGGAGCAGCAGGCACGGCAGGTGAGGTCTGCGTGCCATGTGAGACCCTCGCCTGTGGCCAGGGATTGAGCCAGCGCTGCAGAGGCTGCGGGCAGCTTCGCAGCCCAGCGCTCAACCGCTGCGTCACCAGGGGAGGCCCAGCTTCCTGCTTTTTCTACCTCTCTCTTGGATCTGGTGAGAAGCCAGCTGCCATGTTGTAAATGACCCTGTGAGGACTCAACTTGGTAAGGACCCTTCCTTTGAATAACCATGTAAATGAGAAGACCATTTGAAAGCAGATTCTCCCACTAATCAAACCTTGAGATGACCAGGCCCTGGTTGATAGCTTGACTACAACTTCAGTGAAACATGCTGAGACTGAAGTACCCATATAGCTACTCTTGATCCTTGAAATACTTGCTGTGGAGCTGCTACATTACGGAATATTTTGTTAAGTAGTAGATAACTAACATAGAAAGGATGAAGAGATTATTGGGGGCTACAGAGAGATTGTGATAAGGAGATAGAAGTAATTGTTTGAGAATGAAAAGGATTAAAGTAGTATCTTGAGAAGAAAAAGATCAAATAAAAGAATTTAAGTTAATACAAAGTGCAAGTAAAGGAAGCGTGAGTTTTCTTGGCCATACTGAGATATTGTAAAGAACAAATCACAGCTTCCCTGCTTGGGATAATAATTCTCTCAGAGTATTCATTATTTTATCTCCTTAGTTCCTTGCTTATTATTAACTTCAATAACTGTTGGCTGAATGAATAAGAATTGTATTATCTGACCCAGTTATTTGTTGGTGCTTTATAATGACTGATTGTTCATGGTTCTGTGGGATAATTGGCTACAGTCATTTAAGAGCTCTCTACTTTAGACTGGATGTTCAGTGTGACTGACCCACAGGGCTGATTGTGATGCTGACTTTTGGCTGAGAGTTCAACTGCAACTGTCAAACAGAATGCCCCCACATGACCTCCATTTGAGCCTTGGACTCTTTTTTTTTTTTTTTTTAAGTAGGTCATGCTAGTTTTTAATTTTATACTTGCATAAATGACAATATAGCGAGGCACAGTACTAAAGTTCCAACTTCATAGAGTCCCAAGTTCATAAGTACTATGCTTCATGGTGTCTCTTAAGATTGTCATTGTATATTTTTTTAACATTTTTATTTTTTATTTGTATCTTTTACATCATTGTTCATTTTTGTATAATGTATGCTTGTATGCTTTCTCCTTTTAGGTGTATTCCCCATAAAATTCCCACCATCATTTCACCCATGAACCATCACCATAGTCTCTTGTGCTCTTCTTTCCCCTGTTTTGATCCCTTTTCTTTCCCCTCTCTCGCAGAATGTCTTGGGTTTATAGTTGCCTGCTAATTTTTTTCCCCCGGTCCCTTATTTGGTTTGCCTGTATTCCTCCTATAAGTGAGACAATCTGATATTTTTCTTTTTCTTTCTGGTTTATTTCACTGAGCGTAATCCCTTCGAGCTCCAACCATGTTACTGCAAATGGCATGAGTTTATTTTTTTGATTGCTGAATAGTATTCCATTGTGTATATATACCACGTCTTGATCCAGTCATCTGTTTTTGAGCATTTGGATGGTTTCCATATCTTACCTATTGTCAATAGAGTTGCAGTAAATATAGGGGTGCGTATCTTTTGAATTAATGTTTTTGTGTCCTTTGGGTATATCCCTAGGAGTGGAATTGCTGGGTCATATGGTAGCTCCATTTTTAGTAGTCTGAGGAACCTCCACACAGCTTTCCATAGTGGTTGGACCAGTTTGCATTCCCACCAGCAGTGTAGGAGATCCTTTTTCTCCATATCCTTGCCAACATTTGCTGTTGCCTGTTTTTTTAATGTGTCTCATTCTCACTGGTATAAGGTGGTCTCTCATTGTGGTTTTGATTTGCATTTCCCTGATTATAAGTAATATTGAACATTTTTTAATATACCATTTGCATTTCCTCTTTGGAGAAGTGTCTGGTAGTTCTTCTGCCCCTTTGACTGGATTGTTTACTTTGTTTTTGTTGAGTTGTATGAGCCCTTTGTAGATTTTTGTGATCAGTCCTTATAAGTTGTGTGCAAAAATTTTTTCCCAATCAGTAGGGTGTCTCTTTGTTTTGCTTAGTGTTGAGCCTTGGACTTTTGGCAGCATGGTTGCCAGGTTACCAAAAGAAGTAACCCAAGAGCAAGTGTTCCAGTAGACTTGAAGTAGGAGCTACAAGTCATTTTATTTTATTTTTTAAGATTTATCTTTTTTATTTATGCACACAAGAGCAGGGATATAGGCCAGAGGTACGGGGATGAGGGGGTCGGTGAGAGGATTCACCAGAGAGAGTGGGGAGCAGAACAGGCAGATCCACTGAAATACACTGCTGAGGGGAGCAGTGGGCGAGACAGGAGAGGTCTGCTGTGCCATATGGGTAGCTCCCTGGCTGGGGATTGAACTCGTGCTGCAGTGGCTGCCAATAGCTTGATAGTACTGAGACTTAACCCCTTATTCCACCAGAGGCCCCAGGAGCTACAAGTCTCTTAAGGCCTGACTCCAGAAACTGACACAGTGGTACTTCTACTGTTTTCTACTGGTCATGCTTGTATCCGAGCCTGCAAAGATTCAAGGAGAGGGTATAGACTGCACTCTTGATAGGAGCAGCATCAGTATTTGGAAGGACTGCCAAGTGACAAGAAACGTTGCGATAAAACCATTTCTTGAAAGCACCAACTCATGAAAGCCGGAGGAGTATGCTGAACTCTAGTTTGTTTACTAGAATCCAGCAGTTCCTGCAGAAGAAAAGGTTTATAACAAACGAAAAGTCCTCTTTTTCATAGTGGGAAATAACATTATAAAACATTACATATTTTTTTAAGTGCAAATCTGAGGAGTTTTTTAAAGTGGAAAAGCAATGGCATAGGCGTGTAGTAATGCTAATTTTTAATTGTAGGTCTGTTGGGTGTTACTTATATGGGCCTGGTAAAGCAAGGGGGTTGATTTAGATGATCATTAAGCTTCCTTCCAGCTCTGATTGTAATAAAAGTCTCTGTTGTCATACGTCCCCTGGTGTCACAGTAGAGACATAGAGGACTGTGCATGACAGTTGCTCAGGTGGAGGCTTATTACTGGTGAAAATGGTTAAGGCAACAAGAAAGATTATAGTTATCAGTGTACCATTTATGTTTCTACCTTTAAAATGTAGTGCTAACACGATGCTATCCCTGTTATGAGAGCTGTCTGTTCACTTAGCAGACGTTTAAGTCTGTGAAATATGCATTCTGGTGGGACACTGGCAATGTAGCACTCAACAAAATAGACAAAATCTATGCACTTAAGAACATGGGGAGAAAGATCAATAAACAAATACTGTGTCAGGTGATGATCAGTGCCATAGAGAAAAATAGAGTAGGCTACAGGAATGGAGAGTAGTTGAAGGGAGGGGTTATTAATGAAGATGGCTTTTGAGGGGTGTCCTGAGGGAAATTAGGGAGCCAGTCAGTACAAAATCCCTGAGTCATGTGTGCCAAAGGAAAAGTAGTTGTGTTGCTTGTGCTCTTTGCGGAAAATTGCATTTTCATTTAAAGACCCAAACTCACCAGCATATGATATATAAGACCAACATTATGAATGAATTTCAACTGAAAATACATGTTTCTCATTTTGCTTAGTACTACCTCAGATTTCTTTATTATAACACCTCGTTGAAATAAAAGGTTAATATTTCTGCCCATTTCTCAAAGATTTTTTTTACCACCTTTTTATATACAACACCCTTGTAAAGGAAAAAGAATACTGTCATAAAAACAGGTGACATGAGTTTCTGAAAATTTAAAAAACAAAGCTAAGAACCCTGATAGATCTCAGTAGTCCAGTCTCCTGTGAAATTACTTTTTTTGTAACAGTCTAGCACTTTAGGGAATAATCAAAAAAGAAGAACCATATCATTAAAGGTTTTTTGTATGAGTGTGAAATGTGAAAACCAGGTTAAAATGGAATGGAAGCTGATCGTTCTCCACAAAGATATGTCCGAGTCAAGTGGATGTTATTAGGCTATTGAAGTTTTGTCATTTTTTTCCCTAAGAACGCTTACCTATTATATATTTTTGTGTAGAACTGGGGTGTAAGACAGAGGTGTAGGGGGAGAGAACATTCACCACAGAGTAGGGAGCAGACCTGATGGATTTACTGAAATTAACTACTGAGGGGAGTAGAGGGTGAGGCAGGAGAGGTCTGCTGTACAATGTGGGCCACTTCCCTGGCCAGGGATTGAACTCATGCTGCGGTAGTTGTGGATAGCTTCATAGTGCTGACGCTTAATCCCTTGCGCTACCCGGGAGGCCCCAAGAAAATTTTTAAGTAATGTCACTATACAAAAACTAACCCTCAAGCTTCTAGATTTTCCTTTAAGACACCCATTAGAAAAACCTGTTAATTAAGAGTTTGGAATTTTTTCAAAATAAACTTTATAAAGATTAAATTTTTATTGTTAAGTTTTATTGTTACAGAGGCATCAACAAAATAGTGTGGGGTCAGTATCTGCCACAGAGACAATAATTCATTAGCATGGAGTAGCAGTGTTAAACTGGGTTAATAATTTAACACTATTAACTCACATAGCATTAACTCACATAGCATTTAGTTGAGTGGTTTCCTTCCTTTCATAATTTTTTAGGCTTTTTTAAAATTAGACTTTCAGAAAAATTATAAAAACAGTGCAAATAATTCACCCAGCTTCTTCAGAATTCACAATTTATATAACTTTAATATATAATTATCAAAGCCAGGAAGTTAACATTAGTATAATGCTATTATGTTACAATGCTAGTCACTATAAACTATCAGCCACATTTAAATTTCAGCAGTCTTACCATTACTATCCTTTGTTCCAGGATCCTACATTGCATCTAGTCAGTATTTCTCTTTACGCTCCTGCAGTCCATCATAGTACTTCAGTCTTTCTGTTTCATGATGTAAACTTTTTTATGTGTATGGTCTGTTACTGTGTAGAATTTCAATCACTTTGGCAAGAAATACAGCAACAATTGATGCAAGTAAGATACACTAATGGATATTAAATCAGTGGGCAAAAATTTGAGAAGAAACAGGATATATACTCTGAGAACAACTCTCCTAAGATATTAACCACTAACAAAAAAAAAAAAAAGCTAGTTTTACAATGGATAAATCTGTCTGATAACCTTACTAACCAAGTGAATAAGATTAACATCTTTAATAATACATACTGACATGTATTCACTGATATATGCCCTGTGAAGAATATATTACTTCAGTGGTACTCTTGCCAAAAATCTATACCCCTAGTCTCATCAGAAAATGGGATCTTTTTTTTAATTGTCTGTTTTAAGGCAAAGCATAATAGAATTGAAGGAGAAGGAAATACCAGAATTAAGAAACAAACTGCAGAATGTCAATAGAGACATACAGCGCCTGAAGAATGACATAGAAGAACAGGAAACACTGTTGGGTGCAGTAATACCTGAGGAAGAAAGTGCTAAAGTGTGTCTAACCGATATTACAATTATGGAGAGGTTCCAGGTAAGTTATTGTAGTTCAGTGTAGAATCAGGCTTGTTTCATGGTGGTTTAAATGTGAAGTGTGAGAATGTTTGAAATAGTAGCTAATATCCAGATTTCAGGTATACCCTAAGGAAACAATTTCTTAGTTTACATTTCTGGTTTTGTAATTTTTTTATTCATAAATTATGAGAATTAAGAAGTGCTCTTTTTCGTTTTTAGTTTGCTTCCTTTGTTTACATCATTTAAGTTATGAAAATTAATTTTGTTTTTATCCTTTTAAAATTGTATCTGAAAGTAATAAATTTGAATTGTAAAAAATAATTGATAATATCCATTTTTAAAGATTTTGAATAATGACAATTCAGTAGTGTTTCTTAGAGGGAATAACTTTGTTTTATTTTTAAGATGGAGCTTAAAGATGTTGAGAGAAAAATTGCACAACAGGCAGCTAAGCTACAAGGACTAGACTTGGATAGAACTGTTCAACAAGTTAACCAGGAAAAACAAGAAAAACAACACAAATTAGATACAGGTAATTTAGTCTATTTGCTTGTGTGCCCATAAAAATATTCCCAGGAAATGCATTTTACTGTGAATTTTGTTCCTATTATATGGACAAGGCACTATCTTCCTTCCAATTCATATATACTCTTCTTTTTCTCAAAAGCATCACTTTTATGTTTCCTTGCTTTGCACAACAGATTTTGAATGATAGATTTTGAATGATGAGTGTCAGATGAACTGAACTCTTTCTTAATCAGACCTGTCTTGTAAGACTGCATTGAGTGGGCAGAATGGGACAGTAAACAGGCTGGGGGGACTGCAGAGGTTTTTGTAGCACTGTTACGGAAGGTGGGACCCATATAAACTCAACCTTTATGAAATCCATAGACCTATGAAACTTGAAGTCTGCTTCCTCATAATATTTTCTGTACACTTTTATTAATCATTGTGTCAACATGCTTTTGTGCAGTTTCCAGTAAGATTGAATTGAATCGTAAGCTTATACAGGACCAGCAAGAACAGATTCAACACCTAAAAAGTATAACAAATGAACTTAAATCAGAGAAACTCCAGATATCCACTAACTTACAACGTCGTCAGCAATTGGAGGAACAGACTGTGGAACTATCCACTGAAGTTCAATCTTTATACAGAGAGATAAAGGTAAGAACATTTATATATATTTGTGTATTTAGTTGAAATCACAAAACACTATTGGCATATTGGCTAAAACTGGCTATTGTGAGAATCAAATAATGGTGTAATTCTGAACTTACACTACTTACTAAATCCTTATACTACTGAGGATTTCTGGGAGAAGCCTTTTGGCTATAATAAGGAAGAACTGACTGCCTTGTTAGGTAGTGAACTTCCTGTTTTTGGAGGTAGTCATGTGGTTGCTGGCTAACTTCTTTATAGGACTTCTGCTGGAATGAGAGGTTTGTTTTACCTGTAAATCCTATATCCATGGCAGACAATGCCTCTCAGTAAATAGCACTTTATCTATTTGATTCTAAATACAGTCTTAGAATCCTTCCCACTCGGTAAGCAGGCATTAAGTTGCCACAGGGATTGGAAATCATTTGGTATCTCTCATCTGGATTAGTCATACCAAAGACTGAACCAATTAAATTTATGTAAAGCTTTAGAAACAACAATTTATGTGTTTTCATAATTTATACATACTCAGCACTAAATATATAACTGAATGTCATTACTGTCAATGTCTGAAGTGTTTTTGGATTACAAATTATGGGAGCCTTAGAATATATAAAATTGTACTGTCTTATATTTGTATATTTTTTTTACTCTTTATGCAGTGCTTTGACATTAAATCATTCAGTGTCTGGTAGCCCTGTTGATATATGTAATAACTAAACCTCTTTTTATAGAAAAAGAAATTGAGACTTAGAGATGTAAGTCTTGGGCTATGAGTCATACAGTTAGCTAATAGGAATGGGGTTCATTTTCAGGTAGGTCTCTTAATGTCTAAGACATTTTATTTCCCTTATTCCCTACCACTTTGCAGAATGATAAAATACACCACTACTGAAGTAGTACTAAGTAATTCTGTGGATTTGTTAGATATTTGTTTAAGAATTACTGTTTTAAATATTAATTATATAACTGCTATAGAGATGAAAGGCCAAATAATGGGTGCTTAGCAATTAGTAAAGTCTTTTGTTAATTGAAAGTTCTTTTCCTTCTAAGTAGGTGTAGACCCATCAACATCATAATAGTAATAATATTATTATGCTTTTATTACCATGAAATATTTAGCCTTAACAGACTAAGGTTAAGGACAAAATGGTCTTCTACAATCTTACTCCCGTCTATAAAAGAGAGGCCTGGAACTTTCCTAGTCTTGGTCACATAAAATTGACACAAGCTCTTATAAACTCCTAAGAACTTATACCTGTATACACATGCTCTTAGAATTGGGAGCACATTGCATAGATTAAGAATCAAATCAGGGCCTCCCTGGTGGCGCAGCGGTTGAGCGCTTGGCTGCGAAGCTGCCCGCAGCCTCTGCAGCGCGGTTTGATCCCCGGCCGCTGGCGAGGGTCCCACATGGCGCAACAGACCTCTCCTGCCACACCCGCTGCTCCCCTCAGCAGTGTATTTTGTCAATCTGCCTGTTCTGTTCCCCGCTCTGGCTCTGATGAATTCTGTCACCCTCCCGCGCTTCTCACTGTACCCAGTGCTTGTATAAATAAATAAATAAATCTTTTTTTAAAACAAAAAAAAAGAATCAAATCAGTCATTGGCTAAGGCAGTATAGCATAGTGGTTGAGATAGAAACTGAATCTGGATGGGATTTTAATCTTGGCTTCTGTCACTATTGTGACCTTGAACAAATTATTTCTATGTGCCTTATCTGAAATGTGGAGTAAAAATAATGGTACCTTCTTCATTTGGTTGTTGGAAGGAGCAAATTAGATGATGTTTGAAACCTGGCGTGTAGGAAGTGCTTTTATTATAACTGAAACTGGATACCTGAAATAAGATAATAGACTTTTATATAGGACTTTGTTTTTAATATGTTTAGGATGCAAAAGAGCAAGTACACCCCTTGGAAACAACACTGGAAAAGTTCCAGCAGGAAAGAGAAGAATTAATCAACAAAAAAAATGCCAGCAATAAAATAGCACAAGATAATGTAAGATTTCATTTATATATTTATTTATGAAATAAATGTATTATTCCAGGACACCATGTTAGGCATTATTTCACATGAAATTGAATAGTATTTTCAGATTTGTGACATAATCTTGATATTAAAAATTCTTATTAGAATAAAGATTAAACTTAAATTATTTTGCTGCTTTATCTAAAATAGAAATTTAAAATTGAGACTGTTTAATCCAATTTCTTGGATTGACTAAGATTTGCTAGTGATAGAAACCAGAACATAAGTTTCACTGTGCTCTCCCATTAAGTTTCTGTTACATTAATATGATATTCCCTTGGAAATCTTAAATGCCATGTTTCTAACCAGTATATATTAATGTTTTCTACAGATAAATGATATCAAAGAGAAGGTTAAAAACATTCATGGTTATGTGAAACACATTGAGAATTATATTCAAGATGGAAAAGATGACTATAAGAAGGTAATTTGAAACTTTGAATTATTTCTTTGCTCTTATTTTTACTTCTTGTACTTACAGAATTTTCTTTTTTGTAGCAAAAAGAAACTGAACTTAATAAAGTAATAGCTCAACTAAGTGAATGTGAGAAACATAAAGAAAAGATAAATAATGAAATGGGAATCATGAAACAAGATATTGATACACAAAAGGTAGGCCATTTTTGCTAATGATTTATGGTAGCTTATCATTTATTACAATAACATTATTTTCTTTTTTTATTTTTATTTTCAATAGAAACTCCAGTAAACGCAAACAATAGAGAAAGGCAATTCCAATAGCATTCTTTGCCTCTTTTTCATTTGTTTTCAATACAAGACCCTTAAGTTTTTTCTTGAAGTTTGTTACTCATATATTAGCAAGTAGATATTGTATATACAGATGGAATCAAACCATTCATATTCTGCACTTTTTTGTGAATGTGGCTTGTAGTTTGATCTTACCATATCAACTCATATCTCACAGACCCACCACATATTTTTTTTTTTTTTTTACATCCAGACAAGACTTTATTAGACTTGTGCATAAAAGGAGACACTGTCAAAAAGAAAAGCTTCAGGTTGGCTCCCCCAAGAGAATCAGAAAAGGATTTTTTTTAAAGGGGATTCTTTTGCTGGGATATTGGCAGAATTCTCCAATCATGGATATCCATGTTGTACAAATCCTCCAATCCTGGACAGTTATGGGTGGGCAGCAAGGACTGTGTCAATTTTTGTTTTCCTGCACCTGTGCATTTCAAGCACCACTACCACATTATTTTTCATGTTAGAAAATACTCCATTTTGTGTACATACCATGACTTAAGTTCATTACTTTTCTCCTTATTACAATCTCTGACAGTGAGTATCTTTACATACCCTCTGTATTTTTTCCCATTTATTTTTTTTTAAAGATTTTTTTTTTAAGATTTATTTATTTATGCAAGCACTGGGTACAGTCAGAAGCGTGGGAGGGTGAGAGGATTCACCAGAGCCAGAGCAGGGAGCAGAGCAGGCAGAAGGACCGAGGTACACTGCTGAGGGGAGCAGTGGGCGGCAGGAGAGGCCTGCGCGCCATGCGGGACCCTCCTCCGGTGGCCGGGAGCAGCCTGGGATCGAACCGGCGCTGCAGAGGCTGCAGGCAGCTTCGCAACCCAGTGCTCAACCGCTGCGCCACCGGGGAGGCCCTATTTTTTATTTATACAATAGTTGGGGTACAGACCAGAGGCGCGGGAAGGTGAGAGGACCCACCAGAGACAGAGTGGGAAGCAGAACAGGCAGACGGACTGAAAGCACTGCTGAGGGCGCAGCGGGCGCAACAGGAGAGGTCTGCCATGCCATGTGGGAATCTCCCTGGCCGGCCAGGAATCGAACCCGCGCTGCAGAGACTGCGGACAGCCTCACAGTGCTGTGCTCAACCCGCTGCACCACTGCGGAGGTCCATTTTTTCCCATTTATTTTAACACAACTTTCTGTGGGATAAATTCACACAAAACAGGAACTGGGATCTAATAATAGACTTAAAAATTGTAAGTAAAAAACCTGGATATTGTCATTTTTCAGTTTTTAGTAAATCTGTTCTTTAATATTATCATTTTTTTCCTATTAAGAAAATTAATTTCTACAATGTAAGAATCATACTGAGAAGCTGCTTTAAGCGTGATTGTTATGTCTTAAAAGCTACACCATTTCTCCTTGTTTTAAACAAAATTTGCTCTTGAATGCTTTAATCACTTGGTTATAAGTGGTCATTAAAAATCTCTTTGGAGGGCCTCCCCAGTGGCGCAGCGGTTGAGCGCTGGGTTGCGAAGCTGTCCGCGGCCTCTGTGGCGCCGGTTCGATCCCCGACTGCTCCCCGGCCACCTGAGGAGGTTCCCACATGGCGCACAGACCTCTCCTGCCGCCCGCTGCTCCCCTCAGCAGTGTACTTCGGTCCTTCTGCCTGCTGTGCTCCCTGCTCTGGCTCTGGTGAATTCTCTCACCCTCCAGCGCTTCTGACTGTACCCAGTGCATGTATAAACAAAAAAACAAACAAACAAATAAATAAAACATGCCTCTATAAAAAAAAAAAATTCAACATTAAAAAAAAAAAAATCTCTTTGGAGCTAGTGCTGGGGCGCCCCGAGAAACCTCCGCACCCTCATCCACAGGGTCTGTTCCGACTGTCAGGGCCACCAGCCGCAGGCTGCCGGCCCTGAGATGAGAAATGTTCCCTCAGAAGGGACGGTGTCATTTGAAGACGTGGCTGTGAACTTCACCTGGGAGGAGTGGCAGTGCCTGAGTGAAGCTCAGAGGACCCTGTACCGGGATGTGATGCTGGAGACCTGCAGTCACCTGGTGTCCCTAGGGCATTGTGTTCCCGATCCTGAGGAGAGCATCAGGTCGGAGCAGGGAGTACAGCCGTGGTCTGTGGACGATCCCCCAAGCCGGGACCTCTCAGGTCACAACCTCAGGAGATTGTTTAAGCGTGATATGAAACCACTGCCATCCATGGAGGGCCTGGAAAGATCTTAGAATATTGTCATATGTCCTTGGGCAGCTTCTAGGAGCAAGGAAGGCAAACAGAGTGTATACTGATGGGAGAAGAGACGGTGGTACTAGAAGACACTTACGAGCTAAGAAATATCTGGAGGATATGGAGAGATAAATCACTGCACCTTCCAAGATGATTCTGAACAACCACACAAAGTATTCTTTAATGCCCAGAAATGTATGGCTTCTTCTACTTAATCCATTTCTTCTATACAACGTGAAGAAAACAAGTGCAAAGGATAGACTAAGGTCATGGACTACAGGTGCTTTGCTGGTTTCTAGATTCCTGCTATGAGTGAGACCATCCAGTGTTTTTCGTCTTCTTTCTGGCTTGTTTCGCTGGGCATGGTCCCTTCCGGCTCCATCCATGTTGCTACAAATGGCATGAGTTTGTCTTTTTTGAGTGCTGAGTGATATTCCATGGTGTATATGGACCACATCTTCTTGATCCAGTCATCTATTTTTGGGCGTTTGGGTTGTTTCCAAAGCTTGGCTATTGTAGACAGTGCTGCTGTAAACATAGGGGTGCAGGTGCCCTTTGGAATTGATGTGTCTGTGTTCTTTGGGTGAATGCCTGGGAGTGGAGTTGCTGGATCCTATGGAGGCTCTATGTTTGGTGGGTCCGGAGGTCTCCGCGCAGCTCTCCATGGTGGCTGGACCAGTTTGCACTCCCACCGGCAGTGCTGGAGAGTTCCTTTTTCTCCACACCCTCGCCAGCATTTGTTGTTGCTGGTTTTTTTAATGTGTGCCATTCTCACTGGTGTAGGGTGGTATCTCATGGTGGTTTTGATTTGCATTTCCCTGATTGCAGGTGATGCTGAACATTTTTTCATGTGCCTGTTGGCCGTTTGCATTTCCTCTTTGGAGAAGTTCCTTTTTATCTCTTCTGCCCATTTTGTGACTGGATTATTTACTTTGTTTTTTTGAGTCTCTTCAGCTCGCTAAGAGCATTCATTATTCTATGAGGACATCAGAAGTCTGCATACTTAAATCTCTAGAAACTTCTAAATAATGATTTTACACACGATCATCACCAAAGAAATCTTTCAGGATCAGTACAATCCTGATTACTTTCTGAACTGTGTAGGTTTTTCTTCTGATTCATCAATGAAAAATACTTTCGACTTGAAAAATCCCCATACTTTGCCCCCTCTTGTCACCGATGAAGACATGGAGGTGCTGCTGTAAGCCATCTTCCCTCAGCGCCCAGGGGCCCTAGGAGGAGACAGTGATAATCGCTGAGGGAAGGGCAGGGCAGCCGTAGCCTCTTCTGACTTGCTGGAGAAGCAGCTGTCAGTAGTTCTCCTGAAGCCTCCTAATAAAGGTTAAAGGCTCCATTTAACTAAGCCCCTGGCGGGGCCTCCAGGGTGGCCTAGGGGTTAGTCTCAGCGCTCTCACCGCTGCGGCCTGAGTTCAAGCCCCAGCCAGGGAGTTACCCGCTAGGAGCGTGGGAGTTAGACCCCATAAGGGGGCATGGAGCTAGAGCGCATGTGGTGCAGCAGGTCTCTTCTCGCTGTGCCTGCTGTTCAGCTATGCTCTGTGCTTCAGATCTCCCTGCCCCTCCTCCCCTGCCCCTCCCCCCCCACAAGTCCTCCCAATAAAAAAATCTGACACCTTAAAAAAAAACTCTTTGGAGATTAAGCCGTAGATTAGCTTTTTGTCTCTTGTTACAGCACCATGAATTTCAAATATATGAATCCCAATCAAAACAAATTATGCCATCTATAAATGCTGAATTTATGATACACATATCACAAAATGCTTAGTTATCACTAGTTGACACGTGGGTTATCTATCTAAAATCACAATCCATGGGGCCTCCCCTGGTGGTGCAGCGGTTGAGTGCTGGGCTATGAAGCTGCCCACAGCCTCTGCAGCACCAGTTCAATCCCTGGCTGCCGGCGAGGGTCCCACATGACAGACCTTGACAGATTTCTCCTGTCTGGCCCGCTGCTCCCCTCAGCAGTGTCTTTCATCAGTCTGCCTGTTCTGTTCCCTGATCTGGCTCTGGTGAATTCTCTCACCCTCCCGCGCTTCTGACTGTACCCAGTGCTTGTATAAATAAATAAATAAATCTTTCAAAAATAAAAAAAAAAAATCACTAACCACAGATCAGTAAGGTGTACACACACACAAACGATTTACCAATCTGTGACCTTTCCAAGTTGCTGGTCTAAGCTTAATAGATAGGACTATATTAATTTTTTTAACTATATTGTTCCAGAAATTGTCTACTAAAATATATTCAGTTGGAAATAAGGGCAGAAGGTAATGGAACCAGGATAATGAGAAGTATATAAAAGTAAGCTGCTGCGAGCCAGCCACACAGCCTGGGTGTCAGGGGTTCCTGAAGGATGGGACGGTGTCGACGCAATTGTAGATAATGATGGGGAGGAGAAAGGGAGTGAGGAGACGCAGACACCTCCTGATCAGGGTGCAGACATCATCCTACTTCGCAGTTCTTTATTTATACTAAGCAAATTGTGAGTGCATAAGCATATGCATTAAGGTAGGAAGATAACAATCATCACGTTTTTCAAGAGCAGCCAAAGGTCTGTTTGCCATCCTGCAGAAGTTATGACATTTATTTTTCTTTGTCTTAAAGAAGGCACAGTTGCTAAACAAATGTTCTTAAAATAGTTATTTACTTTAAACAACCCAACAGCAAAAAGCCTATGTGACTGCAACTAACATTTCTAAGTTTGCCATGGTGAACAATTAACTAAGGGCTAGGGGAAACAAAGGATAGAAAGTTACTTGGGAGAAGGGAGACAAAGGGATATTTTCTAACCTAAAAAGTTTAGAATAACATATAACCAAATGATTAAATCAAAAAACAAGGCTTTTATATAGAAATCATTATAGTATATTGTTTTAATATTGATTCGATATTAAGGAACCAAGGGCCTGGAGGGCATTAATGCCAGGCAAGCCGCCCTGACTCTTCCCTAGCCCCCAGCTCTCAATTAAGGGAGGAATTTTCCTAATCTAACAAAAGAGTTTTCTGCCTATTACTCCTCTACTTACCTAGTCAGCCTAGTTTCTGTATCTAACTTTAAGATCAAGGGGCAATTTCTTTTTCCGTAAAATTGCTGGTGTTCTTTTAAGGAACTACAAATATTTGATCAGGGGCAGGGTCGGAGATGGTTATAGCTTTTGGTTTTCAAAATGTTTAATATGTGACATATTAGTAGTTGTAACATTGACTATTTCCAAATGCATTATTTTTGCGGCCATGTTTATTAGCTTAACTAGTAACAAAATTGTTGTTGACTTATTCTTGAATGCATACTCTAACAGCTACCATCTCAATTGTTACATCCAGGGGAATTAGCCCTAAACAAACAGGAAAAATTTAGCAGGAGCTGGCTATGGGTCTCCTGGCTCAACAGGAATTTTCTTAAAGACTTTGGCCGAGAGATGTTTACAACCTTTTGTTCCCAGAAGTTTTTTCACTTTGTTAATGTAAGGCCAAATGTTAAATTACTGTCTTTTCGTAGAGAACTAGTAATTTTATAAAAAATGTAATACTTGTATCACTCAGTGCCAACTGCCATCAAATTGGCTATTCAGTAATTGATTAAACAGTATTTGCAGTTATACTTTTAAACACGTATTTTAACAATGGTAAAAACTAGCCATAAACAAATGAGGAGAATCTAGGAGTCAGCTAACGAGATTCCTGACTTTTCAGAAGTCTGCCCCATGCCCGGACCTTTGTCAGACGACATGAGTAACGTGGCTCCCAGTGGGAAGCCATGAAGTCTGATATGCTCCTTAAAGATTTCAGTAGTCACATGAAGAGGGGACGTTCCCATTAGTTAAACCTACTAAGTGAAAGAAACCAAGCACAAGAGACCAAATACTATATGATTCCTTTCGTATGAAATGTACAGAATAGGCAGATTCTTAAAGACAGTAGATTACTTATTGTTGCCAGGGACAGGGAACAGAAAGAAGGGACGAGACTGTGACTGCTATGGATATGTGGTTTCTTTTGGGGATGATAAAATATACTGGAATTAGTGATGATGGCTACAAAATTTTGAATATATGAAAATCACTGAATTTTAGTACCCTTTAAAATGGTGAATTTAATGGTATGGGATTTACATCTCAATCTTGCTTAATTGAGGTAACATCGGCTTGTAACGATTTAAGTTTCAGTTGTACAGCTGATTTCCTGCATGTGCTACATTGTGGTCATCACTAAAAGTCTAGTTTCAGAAAAAACATGGAAACCTTCACATATTTGCAGGTCATCTTGCAAGGGGCCATGCCAAACTTCTCTGTATTGTTCGAATTTGTACTTCATCTTTTTTCAAATTACCTGGGTTATTAAACACATAGATCTATCTCCATTTTAAATCAATAATTCAGTCTGACACATGGCAGTGGCATGTATGTTTTGTGATTAACTATCAAGTTAATTGATATTAGCTATAAATTACTGAGCCAGAGCACTGCTTAGGTTTCAGGCAATTTTCTATACATGGCATTTTTCTCAGCTAGATTTTGGTGGATAGTGGGCAAGGCAGCATACTGTACCACCTCAGGTACGTACCTATTAATTAAATGTAGCCAATATTTATTTTTCCTTCAGGTGGCCAGCTACATGTATTAACTGTCATCTGAGCTTGGCAATTTTAGAATCTAAGTGCTGGGTACCCTAATATTAGCTTGTTTACAGGCTAACTTACGCCCTACTAACTTTAGTCCAAAAATACAGAAAATTGAAGTTTAATTACTTTATTTCCCTCATTTTTCATATGAAGGGAATAGGAGGTAACCTGACTTGCCCCAAGGTCACAAAAATAGTAATAGCGGTAGAACCAACCTTAGATTGTCAAATGGGTGGTATACTAGAAAACAATTCTGAAATAACATAACTATATTCAGTTTTCTTTTTCTGATATTTTACATTTTGTAGATTATAATTGGAATTCTTACTGCTTAAAGTACAAGAAAATTATGAACTGAAAAAAGTCTTTTCACTAGCAATTATTGAGCTAGGTGCATTGCTAATTACATAAATTATTTTTTATAATTTTCTCTGACAGGTGGTACCACCTTTTAATACTAACATATTAAAAGTAAACTGAAGTTCAGGGAATTTAATTTTCCCAAAGTCATCCAATGTGAAAGTTGTAGCACTGAGATTTGAGCTTCTGTCTCTCTTTTTTTTTTTAAAAAAAAAAAAAAGGTAGATTTATTTATTTATGCATACAAGAACTGGGGTAAAAGCTAAAGGTGGGGGGGGGTGAGAGGATTTACCAGAGAATAGGGAGTAGAACAGGCAGATATACTGAAATTCACTGCTGAGGGGAGCAGGAGAGGTCTGCTGTGCCATGTGGGTTGCTCCCTAGCCGGCTGGGGATCAAATTTGTGCTGTAATGGCTGGCAGTAGATTGATAGAGCTGTCATTAACCCCTGCGCCACCAGGGAGGCTCCCTATGTCTTTTTTTTTTAAAGAGTTATTTATTTTTATGCAAGAGCTGGGGTACAGACCAGAGGCGTGGGAGGGTGAGAGGATTCACCAGAAATAGAGCAGGGAGCAGAACAGGCAGAATGACCAAAATACACTGCTGAGGGGAGCAGCGGGCGCGACAGGAGAGGTCTGCTGTGCCATGTGGGTTTCTTGCCGGCTGACCAGTATCAAACCCGCACTGCAGAGGCTGTGGACAGCTTCACAGCGCTGTGCTCAACCCACTGCGCCACCGGGAGGCCCCTCTATGTCTCTTTTTAAGGCCAAAATTACTCAATAAAAACAGCCACCTTTTACATATTTCAGTCAACAGATTCATAGATACAGGCTGTATTTTTATGGTACCGATGTGTAATTTGTCAGCTTGAAGATCTAACATGTAATAGTATCTACAGTCTTGGCACATGTTAGGAGACATTACAACTAGGCAAAAGGGGAGGGGGTCTTCTACAATAGTGTCATTGTCTTGTGATCTTTTAAATCAGTGGGGTTCTTATGCAAGATGATCCAATTATTTCATCTTTTAAAATTGCATTTTGTGTGTCTGTTGACCTTCTAGCTTAGTCTTGACTTGAAGATTCCTTCATGGTGGCTTAATCTCCCCCTCTTGAGTTAACATCCTAGTAAGGCAGAATAGCACTACCTGTCAGCAGTTGCCCATTATGAATCATATGTTGGCAATTTATTTTTTTAACTGATTTATTTTTTACATTTAGATACAAGAAAGATGGCTACAGGATAACCTTACTTTAAGAAAAAGAAATGAGGAACTAAAAGAAGTTGAAGAAGAAAGAAAACGACGTCTGAAAGAAATGGGTCAAATGCAGGTTTTGCAAATGAAAAGGTATGTTTTCAAAATAGTCTGGTTTACATAAAAGTCTTTATTAGAGAAATGTGAAGAATAGTCAATACATGTTTTTTAACAAGAATTTAAGCCTTTAGCGTTAAGTATCCCTTGAGACTCAGAGGAAGGTTGATAGTTTTTATACAAATATATCTAATGGCCTTAAGAAATTGAATTACTTGAAGAAGTGATATAGAATTGTAGTACTGTGTTAATGGCAGAACGAAAAGTGCCAACTCCCCAGATTTCTGCTAGCTTGCTTCACATAATAATGGTACCAATCATAATGTATAGCCTGTGAACCCTGCCTGAGTCCAAGCTGGTGCAGTGTAATATTGCCAGTGGAGTTTTTGCTAAAGCAGTTTATCATTGGAACCCATTCTGGATGACCCTAATTATACTTCATGCACCCTCACCAGAGTTAGTTTTTATTTTTTCAAAGATTTATTTATGCATACAAGAACTGGGGTACAGCCCAGAGGTGTGGTGGGTGAGAGGATTCACCAGAGACAGAGTGGGAAGTAGAACAGGCACATCTACTGAAATACACTGCTGAGGGGAGCAGCGCATGAGATGGAAAGGTCTGCTGCACCATGTGAGTAGCACCCTAACCAGCTGGGGATCGAACTTGTGTTCAGAGGCTGCAAATAGCTTCACAGTGCTGTTTAACCCCTTGCGCCACCAGGGAGGCCCCAGAGTAAGTTTTTAAAGATTAGCATTATTCAGCTTTCATTTGGTTTTATTGATACTTGCTGTAGTTGCCACCTTTTTGATATAACAGAAGAGATTTTATTATTCCCTTGTCTGCCTTAGAGTTGTTTGGCAATTCTGTAAGAACCTGGTTGATGCTAAGGCACCAGACTAGAATTAAAAGGTTGTACTAGTGAATTACTTGGGTTTTTTTTTTTTTTTAAGATTGATTTATATATGCATATAAGATCCGGGGTACAGACCAGATATGTGGGAGGATGAGAGGATTCACCAGAGACAGAGCAGGGAACAGAACAGGCAGACTGACGAAATACACTGCTGAGGGGAGCAGCGGGCAAGATGGGAGAGGTCTGCTGTGCCATGTGGGACCCTCGCTGGCACTGCAGAGGCTGTGGACAGCTTCACAGTGCTGCGCTCAAGCGCCTACACCACCAGGGGAGGCCTGCAAATTACTTGGGTTTTTGAACCACTTAAACTGATTAAATAAGAATCCCTTTCATTCATTCCTTACAGTTTTTCATTTGTCTTGACTTTTCATAGAAGTCTGTATTAGAAGATGCTTAGGTTTTTCTAAAGGATCTAGTAAATTGATATTTTAACTTACAAAATCTAATATGTTTAATCCTGTGTTGTAAGTACTCTTGGTTTAGCTGTTTAAAATCTCGTATATCAAGGAAATCAGACTTCATAACTAGGAGAGCTCTTCATCTTCATCCTCTTCATTTTTGTGATTAGGACACCAAGACCCAGAAAAATAACAGAAAATTATGATGAGAGCCAGGTATGTGACCACTGATATCCTAGCTCCCAAGCTTCAGCTCTTTAACATTGTAGTGTTAGTGTTCTTGGTGTCAGATTATAGGACTTATTTTTCAATAGAAGGAACTGTAATTCCTTCTGTGATTGTTTTTTTACAGACTAAGTGCTATTGGTCTTTCCCAAGCCATTCTTCAACCAGCATATAACAGAAATGTCAACAAAACAGATAATCATGTCAATCCTGTAAGAATGTCCATAAAGTCAAGAGTACTACCAGGCACATTTAAGAAGGCATTTAATAAGTAATTGTTAAATGTGTGAAGGTTTTTTTTTTTTTTAAGGCAGACATCCAAATTGGGATTCTGTTACTACTGGAAAAATTGGTGTTTTAGGGCCTCCCCAGTGGCGCAGCGGTTGAGCGCTGGGCTGCGAAGCTGCCTACAACCTCTGCAGTACCGGTTCAATCCCTGGCGCCGGCGGGGGGTCCCACATGGCACGCAGACCTCTCCTGCTGCACCCGCTGCTCCCTTCAGCATGTATTTTGTCAGCCTGCCTATTCTGTTCCCCGCTCTGGCTCTGGTGAATTCTCTCACCCTCCTGCGCTTCTGACTGTACCCAGTGCTTGTATATAAATAAATAAATAAATCTTTTTAAAAAAAAAATTTAAAAATTGGTGTTTTGCTTCTTTTTAGTCAGTATAACACTAATACTTTCACAAGAGGAATTTGTTAGAGAGGAGTACAAACTTTTGATAAGTATTACAGCAGAAATTAAGTTTCATTGAGACTAAATTAAATTTTGTCTTTGACATATTGTAAACAAAGTGATGCATACTCAATAACTTATCAGTGTTGGTAATTGTGCATTCTTAGTTTGCAGTCAGAAGTTTGTGAATTTATAATATTAATCACTAAAATTGCTTTCCTTACATTAGTTGGTGTCTAAAAGGAGCTTTCTCCATGCTCAGATGTTATGAGGATTCTTTATTTGACACACAAAAATTAGCTGCTTAGAAACCTGGGATGCTTCAGAGATTTGGAATGAAGACAATTTTTTTAGTACCGAAATTAAGAGAGACTTATATGCTGATAGCTAAGGAGAATGGTAAAAGAAGTTATCTAAAGAGATCTGGCTTTTCCATTTCAGGCTGTTGAAAGCTTAAAAAAAAAAATGTTTTTCACTTGTCATTTTCTCTTTTATAGTGAACATGAGAAGTTGGAAGAGAAAATAGATACTATAAAAAGAAATCACCATGTGGCAATAGGACGACAAAAAGGTTATGAGGAAGAAATCATTCGTTTTAAGAAAGAACTTCGAGAACCTCAGTTTCGGGATGCTGAGGAAAAGTATAGAGAAATGATGATTGTTATGAGAACAACAGAACTTGTGAACAAAGATCTGGACATTTATTATAAGACGCTTGACCAGTAAGTATTGGACTAGGGATTTGGTTCCCATTGCAATATCAACCTATTTTAGTCTTATTTTTTTTTCTCCCTTTTTTACTGTTTTACATATATTTCATTCATAAAAAGGAATGGAAAAAATATATGTGTATACACACATACTTAGTTGTGACGTTAAATTAAAAAGCATATTACTATTAAAGAGTACTCAGAATATCATACCTTTTATATCCAACCGAGAATTCTACCATGATCACTAAACTCCATTTAGCTCTTCCTATCTCAGCCTGCTGTCAGCCCCAGTCCTTGTAACTACTGGTAGGCTTTTACTTTCTCTCCTTTTTATGAAAGTGCTTTTATCATGTGTGTTGTTGGGGTTTTTTTTGTTTGTTTTTTTTTTTTTTTTTGGAGCTTGAAAAAATGTTACTCTGTAATTTTCAAGATTTTCTCTTTTTATTCATGTGCTTATAGCTGTTTTTCATTTGTTTTTAATGAACATACAGGATATTTCCAGGTCTCTACTAATGCAACCTTTGTTGCCAGGAACATTTGTACCTGTTTCCTGAAGCAGAGGTGTAAGATTCTCTAAGGCATACATGGGAGTAGAATTTCTGGGTTGCAGGGTATCTTCAATTTTATAAAATAATGTTAAATTGTTTTCCAAAGTAGTTTTTCTAATTTACACCACTTACCAAGTACAATTTTCTTTGATACATCCTTTGATACTGATTTTGTCAGTTTCTTATGTTGGCCAGTCTGGTGGGTATTCGAAGTTTAAATCATTGAGGTCTTCAATTGCAGATTCCTGATTGCTTTTTATTATTATTATTATTTTAAAGCTCTAATTGATTTTCTTAATTCATGAATCAAACAACATCCTATCTCGCAAGTAGAAGGGTGCTGCAACAGTCCCCTGGTTTTAAATGATGTTGAAATCTTATCATATTCGATCATGTTGTTTCCTCATTGTAGTGGTTGTATCTTATCCATTTTAAGTGTATTTATTGTTGGTCCTCTTATGGTTTGTAGGTATTCTATATCTCCTGAATTTTAATTACTCTTCAATTATATATTATATGAACATCTTAAGATTTTTGTTTATTTTTCACTTCTTACTGTGTCTTTAAACGAACAGATTTTATTTTAAAGTAGTTCAATTTACCCATTTTTTTCTTTTTTTTGTATCTTGTTTAAGAAGTTCTTCCCTACTTTTCTGTGTTTTAATTTTTGGTTTTCACATTTAAGTAATTTAAATAATCAATCCTAAATTGAATCTAATGTACAGTGCTGTTTTTTCTCTGAGACTCCCTTTGATCTTTATGGATATTTCTACCCTGTTCTCTCTTACCACCCCCCAAAGAGCAATTGGTTTCATATGTGATTGGAACCTCCAGTGATAACATGTCTTCGGTCTAGTTTTTTACCTTAATTTTTCAGTTAGGGTGTTCCTGAATTGCACTGGCATTATAACCTTGAATCTCAAGCCCATGTAAAGCATTTGTATAGGACTTTGAACTCAATTTACTAATTTTCCATTATTTGAGAATTGACAATAGAGGCTTTAAGTGTCTCTTTTGTTTGTTTGTTTGTTGGTTTGTTTGTTTAAGATTTACTTATTCAAGCACTGAGTACAGTCAGAAGCCTCAGAAGCACTGGAGGGTGAGAGAATTCACCAGAGGCAGAGCGGGGAACAGAACAGGCAGACTGATGAAATACACTGCTGAGGGGAGCAGCGGGCATGGCAGGAGAGGTCTGTCGCACCATGTGGGACCCTTGCCGGCCCCCGGGGATTGAACGGTCACTGCAGAGGCTGCAGGGAGCTTCGCAGCCCAGCGCTCAACCACTGCGCCACCAGGGGAGGCCCAGTGTGTCGGTTTTTATGTGTTTCAGTATGGAAGGTACTTCTCACCTCTACCTTCTGTGGGCCCTGTGCCTCATCTTCTGCCCCTGGTGATAAGACCTAAACCTTAGGTTATGGAAATAGCCAAGTTTAGCTGCATTGTCAGATTACATACTGACTAATCTAATTTTTCACTTCAACATTTGTTTTGCCACTTAGGGATTTTCCTTTCTCTCTTGTGAATTCAACTATGAACTTAAAATAATTTTTGTTATAAACCTATCTAGCAATTTAGGTGTTTGTGGCAGGAGAATTATAAGTTATCAAAGGTTTTATTGTTTTCTGAAAAGGAAAATTTGTTCCTAAATGCTGAGGGTATCTTCTCTTTTAAGGCTTCCCCTGGTCAGATAAAACATAGTCAACAGATCAGCCTCAGAGTGGCATTCAAATCACAGTGCTTTCAGGAGAACAGCAGGGACCCTGCATTTGGTATGAGGATTCTTTTAGTTACTGATGATAATAAAGATGGCCCCAGAATCACCTAAATCTTTCACTTGTACAACTTTGGAAAGTACATAATCTTTTAAGATAAGTCCATTTACTATGAAAATTGAGAGTAAGCAAATTATGGTCATCTTTTAAAAAAAAAAATACTACCAAGGTTTTTGTGGGTTTAAATTTGAAGGGTTATTCCATGAACATACCCTTTATTATCTTTCCCTGTCAGTGAATAACAAGACAGAGCTTTCTGGGTCCAGAAAGGCTTTTGGGATTGTATACTTAACTCTCAGTGGGAACTTTTGTTATTTAATCTCTTTGATCTTAAAATCCCCCACCTCTAGATTTTACATCCAACAGTTTAAAGTTTAAGGTTAGAAACAAGGGCATAAACTAGACTTACTGAAAGAATTATTAAAAGAATCCTTGCCTAATAGAGTATATGTACATATATTTGTGTTTTGGGGCTTTTTTCTTTCCTTCCATAATTATACCTTTAGCTGACTCATCTATGCCTTTAGGAGACTTTTTTTTTTAATTCTTTAAAATAAAGAATTAAAATTACCAATTAGGAATAACAGACCCAGTCCTTACTGGCAAGTTTATTTGAAGAGATAAGAATCAAAACCAATTTTTAACAATAAGAACCTACTATATAGGATAGGATAACTTAAATGGGTTGTGATTAAAAAAAAAAAAAATAAAACTGAATCTTACAAAGCAGGAAATGTTTGTGTAAAAGTTGATAAATGTTACATTTTTTGAGGCCTCAGAAATCAAATATATGGTGAAAAGTACCGTCTCTGGAGCCTAGCTGAATTTTAGTCCTGACTGTTGACATTTAACAACTTATTTAAATACTTTAAGCTTCAGTTCCCTCATCTGTAAAGTAGAAAACTTTTTTTAAAAAATCCATTAGCACATTCAATATAGGGTCAAAGTTATAACAAGGGAAACTCACAGGCCATGTAATCTACTTTTATCTTGGTCCATTCTTTACCATACATGCTTAAAACTGTTCATTAATAGCACTCGGGAACTTAATAGATAGTAGGAAAGTGAGGGTAGAAGCAAGGAGACCAGTGAGGAAACTCTTATTATATCCTAGGAAATGATAATGGACTGGAGTAGGATAGAAGCTCTGGAAATAGAAGTGGATGGACTCGAGATTTGTTTTGGAGCTAGAACTGACAGGCCTTGCTTCTGGATTGGATGTAAGGGAGGTAAAAGAAAGAACAAAACATTGCTGCTACTTATTTTTGTTTGAGCAACAGTTTGTTGGGAGAGCAATTGCCATTTCTGAAAATGGGCAGAATTGGGGGGAGGGAAATGTAGCATTTTGTTTTAAACACTAAGTGTAAGGTGGCTGTAGACTTCTAAGTAGAGACGTTGAACAGGCAGTTGGATACATGATTTAGAGACAGGAGTTTAGGGGAAAGAGGTAAATTTGAGAGTCATCCATATATATATATATATATATATATATATATATATAGAACTTAAAGTCATAGCATGAGATTACTTTTGGAATAATTATAGGCAAGGGAATGGTCCGCGGACTCACGATGTTTATCCAGTGAAGAAGTAGCTGATAAAGTGGGAGAAAAATTCAAAAGGTATGGTGTCTTGAAAACCAGGTAAAGTACTTTGAGACTCTTTATGTTACTGAGAGGCCAAATATGTTAAGAACTAAGACGTGACCCTTAAATTTGACAAAATGGATGTTGGTAATGGCTTTGAGGCGCATTCTCAGTGACATGGTTGGCACTAAACATTGGAGTTGAATGAGAAGAGAGTGGGTGCTGAGAAATGGAGACAGAATGTAGATTATTCTTAATGAAAAATTCTGCCTGCAGGCAAGCAGAAAAGCAGGTTGACAGCTCGAGGGTAGTGAGGGGCCAAGTGTGGTGGGTAGGTTGGTTTTGTTTTCAATTTTACTTGCACGAAGGTCTCCTAGGGGCAGTTTTCTACTCAATTAACACGTATGAAACCCCAGGTCTGCAAGTGCACTGAGGAAGAGCTCTGTTCTGTCCTCTCCTGTCAGGCTAACAGCCATCTGATGAGGAAGGCCAAGGTAGGTGCTCCATAGTCTATTGGGCCTTGGTCTTTGGGTAATGAAGGAAGGGCACTTCAGTAGAGAAAACTGCCTATTTCATGGAGACATCACACTGAGCAGAGTGAGGGCGTGTGAGGGGTTTGATGGAGCCAGTCAAGGACTTGCGGGGGTGGGGAGGTGCAGGGGTGCTTTCCAGCAATTTAGGCTTGCTTAAGGAACAAAGCCAGCCTGTTTACTGAGTTCTGCTATCTGGTAATCAGACGGATTCTTCTAAATGAGAAGAAAAAGAGTGGTTTAGATTTCCCCAAAATTGAGTCTCTGTGGGCTTGTGCTTGTAAACAGTGGCCTTTGTAAGGTTTTTTACTATGAGATTTAAATTTACTTTATCACCTAGAAGAAAGTAAAGTCCAAAATTTCCCTCATTGTTTTCACCTCTTAAAATGAAGCTTTTGTCAGTATAATTGTTACCTTCAACTGTCTATTTAAGGTAACACAGGAAATTAACAGTTCGTTTTCAAGAAAAGACGATTACCATCTGTTATTAGTAATCATCTGGCAACATCACTGATTACAAGCATTGCCACTGGTCAAAGACACACTGAGCTGAGAAAGGGGGGAAACAGGCATCATTTAGAGTGTATTACCCCACTATATCAGTTAAATTACTACATCAGTTATTTTGGAATATACCAAAGTATCGTGGACTGCCTTATGCCCAGAATTTTCCATCGTCATTTTCCCCAAACATGGAACATGGCATATGACGTCACTCTTTTGAGACTCAGTGGAAACATGTAATTTTAACAATTCGGCATCGAGAGAACCAGCTGAGAGTTTGGGAGTGAGAACTTTTCCAGGGCTCACCCCTGGCCACTGTTCTCATCCTTAGAGTATAATTTGACACTGGCCGCCCCGGTAGCATCAGTCAGGTAGATCAAACCTAAAGCTGGGCACTAGCATTTCCCTCTCAGTGTAAGCCGTCGTCGTCTTTAAACCAAGTGTTTCTCTTGTTATAGTAGTCGAAATACTGCCTGAATTTTCAAAGTTGATATTTTGGAATCTGGTTAAAGGAAGTTTGTTTTAATGGTCTTAGGGAATTAATAGTTTTAAGGGTTTTATCTAAAAATGGTTAATTTTTCTTCTAAGCATACAACCTAAGTTTGGCTCATTGGGAGTTTTGAGTTTGCTGAATAATAAAAATCACTGTTTATTTGTATCATGAATGTAGAGAATATGATGTTCTCACAGTGGTGGTACCAGGGCAGCAGGGAAGAATATCCAGTGGGTCATAGCCAATTTTTCAGCAACCTGTGTAGCTCAAGTGTGGTGCAGTTTCAAATAGAAGAATAATGTTGGAAAATATCTTTTGGAAGTATCGTCTTTTCTGCTTTTTTCCAACTAGGCTAATTTTTGTTTTTACTGTGCTAGTGAGATTTTTTTTTTTTATTAATAAGGCATGTATGTATAAAGTACTCCTAATTAGTACTTTATTCAGTGAAAAAAGTTGAGAATATGGGGAAATAGAACCCAGATGTACTAAGGAAAAAGATAACCCAGATAGTTACAGAAACTTCATTTGAGCTCCAAGTGTGGTGGGCTTTCGGACAGCTAAGACCACAAAAGGAAAATTCTGTAATGGCTAGAGCAGGCATACTGCAAAGAGGTGCTGAAAGATAGTGCACTTAGTCTGGTATTTATTTTTTTAAAGATTTATTTACTCAAGAACCAGGGTACAGGCCAGATGTGCGGGAGGGTGAGAGGATTCACCAGAGACAGAGCGGGGAACAGAACAGGCAGACTGACCGAAATACGCTGCTGAGGGGAGCAGAGGGCGAGACAGGAGAGGTCTGCTGCACCAGGTGAGTTGCCTTCTGGCTAGCCAGGGATCGAACTCGTGCTGCAGTGGCTGCGGATTGCTTCATAGTGCAGTGCTTAACCCCTTGCGCCACCAGGGAGGCCCAGTAACAGAACTTTTAAAGAAATCTTTCCAAGTCTTGAGTCTTTAAATAAGTGATTAAATCACTTATAAACTATTTTCTCAGGTCTGTTTACTATGTTTTGGGAATCGTTCATATGAGTGTGTATATGCATTTAACTAGAGGACAGGCATACTCCAGGCAGATGGTAGGTCTGATGCAACTAGCCAGTTTCCAATCCATGAAATTAAAACCACAGCTTTTAAGTATTAGCTGCTGTAGATAATGGTACAGACACAGCTGCACACTTGTGCATGTATGCCAAAAAGATAGCATCTTAGAAATGGAATAATCTGTTCAGATGGCATGTGTATTTTAAACTTGTTAGTGCCAAATTTACCAAAAACGTGTGAAATTTGTTTCCACTAAGTTTATAGAAGTACCCATTTCTTGGTGATTGCATTTTATATTATCAACGGTTTTAATTTTTGCCTATGTGTCATGCAAAAATGTTTTAATGTTAATTTGCGTTCACTGAGTTTAAACGCTTTTCTTATGGTGACTATTTCATAGCCAATTTTTGGACTAGGTTGTCTTTCTTAGGGACTTACAGTGTTTTCTTTTTACATGATGAAATCACATGCACTGCAAGTAGTTACTCTAGTTTGTCATTGTCCCTTAACTTTATGGTGTTATTTGTGACCTTCAATTTTTAGGTACTAATCAAATATCTCACCTTTTTATTTATAATTTCTGTATTACATAGGCCTTCCCAATCCTAAGATTATAAAAATGTTTTCTTCAGGTAATTTTATGACTTCTAATTCTTGCATTCATTTGGACTTGATTAAAGGGAGTGACTTTTTTCTTTTCCTATTAAAACTTTTCCCACTGATTTTCATTCTTTTCCTGTCCTAGTTATATGGTTTTATCTTTCCGTTATCTCTGAAGTATGAACTTTAAATATACCTAAAATCTTATAGGGAGTTTTGTTGGAACTGTATTAACGAACCTGAGGAGAGTGCATCTCTTTGCAATATAGAATCTCTCACTTTGGACCCTATAGTATCTCTCTCCTATAGGGACCTACTGTAAAAGTTTACAACTTTTTCTTCTAGACCCTGTACCCTTTTGTTAAATTTCTTGCTATGTATTTTGCTTTTATTGCCACTATGAATAGGATCCTTTTTTAAAAATTGTGTTTCCTATTAGACTTAGCTACTGATAATTTCTAATAACTTTTAATTTTCATATATTCTTTCTTACCACCTTATTCGTTTTAATTAAAAATCTAAGAAATCAACTGAAAAATTAAATGCACACTATAGCACCTACGGAAACAGTGACAGATCATCTTTTTTGTCTCACTGAATCTGTAGGGTGATAACTGCATCTTTTAGCACACTTCAGGCTATTTTAATATTAAATTTAATGTATGCTGTGGATGACTTCTTTGAAGTTTTTTGTGAAAACAGTATTACATCAAATACTTTTGAGGTTTTTTTTTTTTTTCCTTTTAATCAGTTAATTCAATGAAGCGTCAGTGTTGTACTTATCTTGCTTTCTTGGGATAAACAATATTTGGTTATGGCATTGTTTTTAATACCCTTACTTTATTTAGAATACTTGCGTATTCACATGGTCTATACTTTTTCTTTTCCTTCAAGGCGAAAGTTTCTCCTTGCTGTGTAATACTTACATACTTGGGTGCTAGGAAGACCTATCTACGTGATTTGGTAACATCTGCTCATAAAACTAAATGAGCTGGGTGGCTTTAAAGAGTGAATTTTGATGTCCTTTCAATTTTAATTCTATTCAGAAGTTCTTAATATAACCTAGCCACTTTTCTCTGATCTTGAGCAAATTACTGATGTCATCAGATTTCAGTTTTCATGATGAGAAAATGGGGATAACCAAAAATAACTCCCAATAATGTAAGGATTAAATATGTAATATGTAATTGCTTAGCTTAGTTGTGTCTTTAGGTAAATGCTTGTCAGTAGTAACCACAGTTATCATTGTTATTCTCACAAGTGGATTAATGCAGTTCCCTTAATCACCCCTTACTGTTGGACAGGGAGAGAAGATGCAAAGATAAAGTAAATGGTCTGGCAAACAGCAGTAGGTGTCACCTCCAACTGACACACCCCTTGGCGGGTCTAGCCCTCTCAGGACTACAACTTTTTCCTGCATTGCTGTCTGTTAGTACTAACCGCAGTCCAGGATGCACCACTTCTGTTGCACAAGGAGCCACAGCAGAGGCTGTGTGTGCACCTTGGACACCCATCCCCCACCCCTGAGCTTGTTCTTCACATGGAAAATGCTCTTTCATGTTAGTTATGGGGGATTTTTAACTTGGATAGAAAGTGACTTTTTCAAGTCACTGGGGATTACATAATTGGCCACAAGATGATTTTCTGAGGTTTTTGAGAAAAATATTAAAAGCTTGTCTATGTCGTTTTGAAAGGCGCATACAATGTTAGGCTGAGGTATGTAAAGTATAAAATGGAGCCTCATCAACAGGCAGAATATGGTTTTTTCCAGTCTATTACTTTTAGAATCCTTCATCTGATATTTTAAATGTATTTATGTTGAGTCATTTCTTTGTCTCTTGCTGGTGAACCAGAAGATCATGAAGTAATTGTGCAGAGGCAGTAGCATTACGCGCGGTTTCTTTTTTTGTATCTATCAGATAAGAGGCCTGCAAGTGGAAGTAGTATGGCCTCACATCCTTTGTATGGCCGTGGCATTGCCTTTTTTCACTGGTGAAACATTTTTCAGTTCATAAACATGCTTCTAAAGAACCTAAGGGCTTTTTGACCATGGGTAACTTAGTGAGAAAGGGTTAGATTTTTGACAGGGTACTTTGTACTTTATAGCATTTGTTTTTTAAGAGTATTACAAGGGACTGACTGCTCTGACCAAGGGAAAAAATAATGCACATAGATGGAGTTAGAATCTTTGGCTAGAAAGGCAAAATAAAAGTTTTGAGATTCAGCTCACTAAGTTGCCCTCTCTGAACCAAAGCTTCTGAATGATAAAAAGCTCACAAATTTAAGGACTAAAAGCAACTTTAAGAGACTGACTTTTAGTAGCCCTTAATAGTAACAGAGGAGAAGAAAGAAACCAGTTCCAGAGATTCACCTATTTCCAACAGACTAAGGGACATAGTAGACTTCACCTCACACCCCCCCCCCTTAAATCACTGCCAGCCTTTCACCACGACTTCCTGCAAATGGTGGACATCAGTGGAGTTAGTCCTTCCAATAAAGTTAAAGACCTAGAGCAATGAAACCATGCTTTGCAGTGGTCAGTAGTAGCCAAGAAGCAAGGTTTTGGATGGTCATTCTTAATATATCCTACTTATCATTGAGGATATTGGGGAAATTTTTTCATGAAATTGTTGCATTTTACGCATTGCCATAGATTCAAATATTCTTAACATAGATACTGTTACATATATTTTTTCTTTAAAATACCAATAACTTTTTCCAGAGCAATCATGAAATTTCACAGTATGAAAATGGAAGAAATCAATAAAATTATTCGTGACCTTTGGAGAAATACTTACCGTGGACAAGGTAATTAACACGGTGTGTCACAAATGTTTTTCCCAAAGCCCTGTCCCCAACGCTTGCCCAGACCTCTAACCGTGCCCGTATCCTTGACCTCTTCTGAACATTTCCTTGAGATTTTTCTAAGAATTCTTATCGTGACAAAATCTTGTAACAAGAAAAGAAGTGCACAGTTTTCTATTCCAAAGCCAGATAGGACTTACATATTTGGCTATGATGCACAATACATTTAGCTGATGACCTAATAGGTTCGGTTAAAGTGCAGATAGGGATAAGCTGAAATGCGATAAGAAAACCAGCAGGAGGAAACTTTTAATAGGGGAGCGGGGAAAAACCAGTGTGAAACGGAAGGTGAGGGCAGCTGGGTTCCCTCCAGCCAGGAATCCTCTCAGCCCAAGAAAGAGATACCAAGCCAGCCCATGCTTTCCTACGGTCATGTCAGCCTCAGATACTGCTTCTAAATGTGTTAACCATGTTGATAAAGGACAAAAGGTTACAGATTGTAAGTTCCTTTGCAATTTTCTTCTTCCTGTGTCAGATATTGAATACATAGAAATTCGGTCTGACGCTGATGAAAATGTATCAGCTTCTGATAAAAGGCGGAATTACAACTACCGAGTGGTGATGCTAAAGGGAGACACGGCCTTGGACATGCGAGGACGGTGCAGTGCCGGGCAAAAGGTAGGCACCTCAAGAGCCCAGGAAGCCACTTTGCACGCCGCCCGGTAAACAGAATCTGAATCACTGTGTCAGTGCTAAGCAGCATTTCCTGCCACTACAACAGGCTTGAAGGAAAAGGGCCTGAAAGTCTCACAAAATAGCTAAATGTAAAACGAACCAAGACCACACATTTCACAGCACTCCTGATGAGATCAAGTCACTGTGTCATGAGTGAGAGGGCGATTTTTTTCCCTGCCCCCAACTTTTTTAAAAGGTAGTTGTAAGATGCATCCTGATTTCAGAGAAGTGATTGAGCCTCCTCAATCACTTAGAATGTGAGTCTCCTTGAGAGGGCAGCCTTGTAAGACCTACTTTGAGTCCTCAGCACCACCCAGAGCCTCGCCTTGGGGCCTGCAGACCCTCTGAAAAAGGCTCTAGACCCCCAGGCTGTGATACCCCCTCCGCCGACACAGAGATGTGGCTCACAGTGTAAGCCTCCTTTGTTCAGAGTGACGCAGGTGATCATACTTATTTCTAACAGCCCTGGGCCCCTGATTTTAGCGAAACATTTTAAATCTGGAAGTAGATGTTCACTTTTATCTGAGTTATTTTTATAAATGGTTTTCAAATTTTGCAGTCATTCCATGCGTATGTATTTCGCTGTCAGCCCAGACAGCTGATACCAATTTTAGGCTTCTGCAGATTATTATCTTAATCATAGTCTGCAAAAATGACAAATTTGTGAGCTGTAATCAATAGCCCATGCTTATTTTGATGATTTTTAGTGACAATTATGAATGAGAAAAATAACTGGTTTTGAAACACAGAATTAAAAACTGGTTTTTAATTCTTTGGATTAAAAAGGGTCAAAATACTTTCTAAAGATTTACCTTAGCTACTCCAAATGATAAAAATGAACAGTAATTACTTCCCTGGTGTTGAGGGAGAAGATAGACAAATGGTGTGGTGGAGGGGGACTTGGAGCGCCACTCTGAGCAGCCATGGGGGTGGCAGCAGGAGTCGTCAAATACAGGAAGGAAGTGCTTGTCCCCAAAGGGCCAAGGTATGTACGGATGGCCCTGGCTCCTGCAGTTGCCAACCTGGGCTGAGCCTCAGAGCAGCTGTGAACTGTTCACGACCCTCACGCACCTGTTGCCGCACCTTCACGCACACAGTCAGGGACGGACAATCTCCAGCTTACACAGAAGTTTATACTCCCTAGAATAATCCTACACACTTCTGTGTCCCCTATACCCTCAGATGACTTCGGCGAGGTTGAGAGTTTTAGTATGGGGTTTCTAGTAACTGTGAAAGTACCTCCTAGTTTCAGTTGCTTGCATGTCTTACAGGTCCGCAGAAGTACAGCAGCCTGCGGGGCCCCATTCCCCCTCTTGGGTTTCTGCCTCACCTTTCCCTTTCCAGGAGATCGTGCCAGGTCCGTGCGCTTCCCTAGAGGAAGGAGCGGAGGGCTGTGTGCTCGCTCGGGTTTGCTGCTGTTTTCCAGGTATTGGCCTCACTCATCATTCGCCTGGCCCTGGCTGAAACGTTCTGCTTGAACTGCGGCATCCTTGCCTTGGACGAACCGACAACGAATCTTGACCGAGAAAACATTGAATCTCTTGCACATGCTCTAGTTGAGTAAGTATCTTAGATTTTCTAAAGTAAGATGAAGAGAGTGAAAACCTTATCTAAGTGGAGAAACTTTAGGTTGTCAGAAAAGTCATAATGTATTTTTGCAACAAAAACAGAAAAAAATACGTCATGACTTCCAACAACCCAATAGTCGATGCCAAACCCTAGGCTTTACCTTTTGATGGTAATTCAGAGTCTTCACAGAAGTAGCTCATGCACAACAGCCCCAGACACAGCCTGCATCTCCCCAAGTGTGTTCACAGGGAAATTCATGGGGAGGGATTCCTGGCATAGTTTGGTTTTTCTGTGAACCCATCAGGTGGGGACCCACATGTCATACAGGCCTCAGCATGTGCCACAAACATTTTGAGGGGCCGACAGCACAGTGGACTACCCCTCCAGCGCTTATGTCAGACAACATCTACGGAGAATGACACCTTTTATGGGAAAAGTTCAGCAGTAGCTCTCTGGAGTCTACCGAATTGCACCCACCTTTTACCAGCCCTTGTTTAAGGACTATGCTGATAGAAGAAAAGCATTTTTCCCTGAGGCACAGAGACTTTGAGATTCTCCTGGTCCCAGATACACAATCTGGCGGAGATGATGTTTCCTGTCTGCTAGCAGGGATTGGGCCAGACTTGAAGCACCACGGAGCCACTTTTTTCAATGTGAACAGCAAATAAGAGCTGGAGCTTTTGGAACCTGAGTATATATATTACAGCTCCAAGCAAGGGAAAGTCTTTCAGGTTTCTCATTTACCTCAGTCTCGGCCTGGTTACCTCGGCATACACAGGATGAGCAAAATATTCTCTACACACCCACTCAGGCTCCCTGCGTGTCATACGAGTGATGCATCTAGTGACTGCTTGTGGCAGAATTCTAGGTAGACCCAGCTCTGAAGAAGGCAGCAGGCTTGCATGTTATTCCCCCGACCTGTAGTTTTTTTTCCCTGCCAGAGAAGATTAGTAACAGATCCACACAAAAAAAAAAAATCCAGGCAAAGGAGTAAGTCAGACTCCTAAAGTTATGCAGCATAAATAGTAAGGAAAAGTTAGTAAAACCTTTCTGCCTACTTGAAATTCCTGAGCCAGACCTAGGCAAAGAGACAAGCCAGGCCATACCCACTGCCTGGAGGAGGTGGACCCCTTCCTGGTTGGGCCGGAGGCTTAGGTCCACCACCCCTCCCCCATTTCCTGCGGGGCTGTCAGAACCCAGCGCTCAGACTTTACAGGAAAAGCCTGGTTGTCAGCACACATTCACGTGTCTGATGAGGTGCTCACTGGCTTTTTCTAATAAAAGGTTATTGGTGCTTTTTAGTAATAAAATGTTCTAAATATATTGTTTCAGGATAATTAAAAGTCGCTCACAACAACGTAACTTCCAGCTTTTGATAATCACTCACGATGAAGATTTTGTGGAACTCCTAGGGCGTTCTGAATACGTGGAGAAATTCTACAGGATTAAGAAGAACATTGATCAGTGCTCCGAGATTGTGACATGCAGTGTTAGCTCCCTAGGATCTTATGTTCATTAAAAAATGTTCAAGATTTAATTATGTTTGTACCTGGCCCTCAGACGCCTGCTCATTTCTGGTATCAGCTGGTCACATGGAAAAATACAATCTTTGAAAGGAGCTTTGTGTTTTAAGATTTTAAATCTCTGGGGCCTCCCTGGTGGCGCAGCGGTTGAGCGCTGGGTTGCCATGCTGCCCGCAGCCTCTGCAGCGCCGGTTCCATCCCCGGCTGCATCCCGGCCACCGGAGGAGGGTCCCACATGGCGCACAGACCTCTCCTGCCGCACCCGCCCTTCCTCAGCAGTGTACTTCGGTCCTTCTGCCTGTTCTGCTCCCCGCTCTGGCTCTGGTGAATTCTCTCACCCTCTTGCGCTTCTGACTGTACCCAGTGCTTGTATAAATAAATAAATAAATCTTTTTTTAAAAAAATTTAAATCTCTGAAAGACTTATCATTTAAACTGCGCTTACCCCCAGCCTCTACCTGTGACAGGCCCACAGTAGCACTCGGCTGCTCGCCTTTCCTCACCACACACGCAGGTGATTTCAAGACATGAAGCTACTCACTCACCTTTGACTTCTCAAAACACTGTTCAGAAGTAGGTTCTCACTGCTTTGACAACTTAAGGTTTGGCTATTAGGGAAAAAAAAGTGCTAAGTGTGTGTGACTTTTGAATTTTTTTCCTTGACTGATTTTTGAAAATGGAGTTAATCAGTGAGTATATCTAACCATGACCAGAAATGAATAGTAATAGTTACCTCTGTTCTTAACTTTATAAATCTGGCTATGTGACCTCATTCTCTCGGCCTCAGTTTCCCCAACTAAAATTTGAAGTGTTTGAATGGGGCTTCAGAATTTGGAAGGGACCTTAAGTCATTACCTACAGTAGTCCCCCTGCTCTCTGGGGGGAATGGATACATTCCTGTACCCTCAATTAGTGCCTGAAGTCATGCTGGTGTAAGTAGGGTCTGGTACTCTATTTACTGTTATACATACATTCCTATGATAAAGTTTAATATATAATTGACATTAAGATATTAAAATAAGAGGCCATTTATAACTGTATACCATAATAAAAGGTGTATATATACTCCCCACCCCCAAATCCTTATTATATGTAATATTTTTGGACCATGGTTGACTGCAGGCACCTGATACCATGGAAAGTGAAACCACTGCGGGGGGAGGGTCGGCGGAAAGTACTGTAATTCCATACCCACCGTCATCCTTCCACAGATCCCTGCCCCAGGTAGTCAGTCATGCAAGCTTGAGAGGAAGTTCCCCACCTCCCCATAACGCACACCCACCTTTGGAAACTTCAACAGCAAGGCGTCCCTTCACTTGGTCTGATCTGACAAAGTATGTACGCGCCTCACTGTATCCTCGGCTTGCTACACCTACATTCCGGAGTGGGAGGCAAGCAAGGTTCACGTTCAAAGCCATGACTGGCTCCGTGGGATCCAGTCATGTTTGGAAGATCAGGCCCAGCATTTTCTCGCCAGAGTCATTCTAATAAAAACCCAATCACATTTTTTTCCTGGAATTGCCAACTAAATGTCTCAAAGCCTTTCGCAGACATCACACACTTTTGAATTAGACTTTGTGGCGTGCCCTCCTTCAGGGTCTGCAGTCATGTGGCAGTTTTCTGTCATCTGCAGATCTGGTGAGCGTAGATTCCAGACATCCCTTCTCCGTCGGGATCTAATAGAATTAAGGCCTAAAGGATGTGGTCAGCTGAATAAGGACCTACAAAGATACCTAGGTCTTAATCCGTGAAGCTTGCGAGTATTTCCTGATACAGCAAATGGGACTTTGCAGACGTGGTTAAAGCTAAGGGCCTTGAGATGGGGATTGTTTTGGTGAGCCTAAATGTAATGACAAGCATCCTAACGAGGCAGAGACAAGAAGTGGAGAAGAGTGAGCAGCAACCTTAAATTTCTGGTACAGGGTTTGGGATGATGAGCGTTGATGACAGAGCTACAAGGCAGGGATACAGGTGACCGCTGGAAGCTGGGAAAGGCGAGCCAATAGAGCCCCTGCAGCATCTGAAAAGAACCAGCCTTGCTGACACCTTGACTTTAAGCCCACTTAATCTGATTTTGGATTTCTAATCGCTGTAAGACACTAAATTGTGTGGTTTTAATATGCTGAGTTTGTGGTAATTTTTATACCCACAATAGGAAACAAATACAATATCCATTGTATGTAATAGGTTAATTTTTGCGCATCTGAAATACCAGCTAAGTAATAAACCCTTAATAGAACTCAACAGTGAGTTACTCCACTCATTTCCTGTATTCTCTGCGTCACAGGAAGAAAGCTGGTGGAGAAAAGCTAGTCCAGACCCTCATGACAGTGTCCAGTGACCCTAATTTAGCTTTGAAAAATTGAAAAAAATCCTCTACCAAACTAGCATGACCTTAATAAAAGAACCATGAAAACATCAGACCAATTGCAGTACAGAAATCAGTTCAAGTTCCATAGTTAAAAAAAAAAATACAATAACCAAGAGGCTTATAGCCCAAGAACACAAGACTGTTTAAGAAAAATTATGACACTGAAATGATGACTATTAGTTGGCAAAATTAGGCATCTAGCTTTAGCAAGCTTAGTTTTTCAGATTTTCCTGTAAGTCGTGTTAACAGCAACGGATATAATTTTCCCATTAAATTATAAAACCAGGTATCTTCTAGCAACATGTTCTCATCCAGCCATTACAACAAGGAACACATCTAGCCTGCCCTGAGGATGTGGCTTCCCCTGCAACCCTGGCAGGGTGGGCATGGGCATGGGCATGGCCATGGGGTAGGTGCCTTTCTGCCTTTTCATTGCGTCTCCCCCTTTCTCCATTTAACACACCCGTACATACTTGGCTGCGTGGGCAGCGTATGGCGGTTACGATGACATGCCAGACTATTTGGACACAAATCCTAGTCCTGCTCACTAGCTGTGAGACCTTGGGGAAGCCCATGTCTCCTCTCCTGCTTTGCTTTGCTTTGTTAGCTGGACTGAAAGACTGCACGAACTGTGTATAACTGCCTCACGCACAGTGATTAGTACGTACTTGTTAAAGAAAAATCTTGCTTGTTGCAATTATCTTTCTCCCCCATTCTGCTCACTTGCCCTTACTTGACAATTATAGCCCCTAGGTCGTCGTCGTTCCAGAGCACTAAATTTCTTGATGATTGGTGACTTCAGTCTCAAGATGATTTGCTACAACCCTCTGGCCTCAGTTCCCTGTCCCCTCCTCTAGCGAGGAGACAGATGCGCGATAGTCTTACTCTGCAGCGCAGTCCTTTTAATAATGACCATGACCCGTTTTTACAACAGTTCCCCACCCCATCTTCACAATTTATAGCACTGACTAACAATTTGAAAAGCAGAAAAGTCTTCCATGAAGGAAACATTTGTTACAGTATCTACTGGGGGGCACGGGGCACCAGATGAAAGCAGCGCCATGTGTTCCCGCCATGGCCATGTGTTCCCGCCATGGCCATGTGTTCCCTCGCACCACTGACTAGAGCCACAGCTGGCAGGCACCGTCGTCACACCCTCTCTTGAGATGACAGCCGGTTCACTCACCCTGCCCTCATGCTGGCCTGGTGGAATGTGGCCAGGCTTGCCATGCCTCCGGCTCAAAACACCCCACTGTGACACCCCCAAAGCCAAGGAACTCAGGGAATGTAGGCCAAGGGACGCAGTTTTAGTGCCTGCCCTGGGCCTCACTGCAATTCCCAAGTACTGTCCAATGCAGAGACTGGATACTCCTCTAGAACCCTGCTGCTGACAACTGTCCCTAAGGTGACATCTTATCACTGGTCTGGAACCAGATTTACAGCTGTGGTCTCGCAGGACCACTTACGGGCACACTTGACAGGCGATTCCTGAAGGTCTGGCCTCCAACCTCTTGGAACAGTGACACCCTCAACAGGAACCGATCAGCCACAGGAGCAACCACAGGAGCCTGAGAAATTGAATAAACTTCAACGCCTACACAAGACCACTCTTTCAAGATTAGTAGAGGTAACTGTTTCACCAAATACTTAGAAACAGGGTTAAGCTAAGTAGAGAAAAAGGTGTGTATTCTAAATACAAGAACAATTTTAGTGAATGGAGATAAGAAATCTACCAGGTAAAGAATTCAAAGTAATGGTCATAAAACATCACCTCAAACTTAGGCTGTACATACCCTGGGTCATTCATACATACATGCATAGCTTCCTACATAGACACAGAGCACAAGAGTTGAAAACCGTAAGTTAACTGAAAGGTTCAATAGCAGAATTTATGGAAGAACTGGTAAGTGAGCTCAAAGATAGGGCAGTGAAGCTTAACCAAATGTAGCAATGTCAAAAAATTATTTTTAGTGGGCCTCCCCTGGTGGCGCAGCGGTTGAGCGCTGGGCTGAAAAGCTGCCCGCAGCCTCTGCACCGCCAGTTCGATCCCCGGCCACCAGGCGAGGGTCCCACATGGCGCGCAGACCTCTCCTGCCGCCCACTGCTCCCCTCAGCAGTGTACTTCGGTCCTTCTGCCTGCTCTGCTCCCTGCTCTGGCTCTGGTGAATTCTCTCACCCTCCCGTGCTTCTGACTGTACCCAGTGCTTGTATGAATAAATAAATCTTTTTAAAAAATTATTTTTAGAAATTAAGATAGCTTATGGGGCCTAAGAGACAATATCAAATGGAATAACATCTACATTATAGAGATACCAGAATACAGAGCAAGATAGGAGTAGAAAATTCATTTGAAGAACTAATGGCTGAAACCCTCCCCAATCTGGGGTACAGGGGGTACAGAATGTACACAGTTCTAAACAAGATGGATTCAGAGATTCACACCAAGACACATTAGAATTAAAGTGTCAAAACTTTGATATGCAATGTTAAAAAGCATGAGAACATGTTACATTAAACACATTACATAAAAGGTTACATGCTACACACACACACAATCACACACATAAGGCCATCAACAACTTTTTCAACAAATGCTGCAGACCACAAAGGAGTGGGACAATGTATTTGAGCACTGACAGAAAAGAACTTTCAGCTAAAAAGAGTCTATCCAGCAAGGTTATCATTCAGAACTGAAGGGCAACTGAGAAGTTTACAGACAAGCAAAAGCTAAATGAGTTCATCAACACTAAACTGGGTTTATAAGAAATAGGAAGGTATCTGGCAACCTGGGTGGTGATAAAAAAAGAAAGAAAGAAAGAAACATGAAAAGGTCTTAAGTAAGCTGAAAAGAAATGGCACTGAATTGAAACAAGAAAACATGAAAGAAAAAAATCTCCTTTGTAAAGAGAAATACATAGTAAAGGTACTGAGTCAATCACAAAGCTACAGTGAAGGTTAAAGGACAAAAGTACAGCCTCCTTGGTGGCGCAGGGGTTAAAGTCTCAGCGCTAGCAAGCTATTGCCAGGCACTGCAGCATGAGTTCGATCCCCAGCCAGGGAGATACCCACATGGCGCGGCAGACCTCTCCTGACTCGCCCACTGCTCCCCTCAGCAGTGTATTTCAGTCAGTCTGCCTGTTCTGCTCCCCACTCTGTCTCTGGTGAGTCCTCTCACCCCCCACACCTCTGGCCTGTACCCCAGTTCTTGTATACATAAATAAATAAATCTTTAAAAACGGGGGGGGGGGGGAGCAAAAGTAGGAATCGTAACTGAAACTGCACTCTGAAAGGATATAAAATGTGATGTCAAAAGCACTGAACATAGGGCAGAATCACAATGTAGACAAAGTCATTAAACCATGAAGGCAGAAAGCAAGAGAAGAAAGGAACAGAGGAAACACACAAAAAAGGCAGAAAACATAACAAAACGGCAATACATGCATACATAATTTAAAGCCACACCTGACACGAAGACACACTGAAAGCGAATGAGTGGAACAAGAAAGCTGGTATAGTCATACTTAGTCAAGGAAAACAATTTAAAAGACCACAATAAAAGTAACAAAGAGGGGCATTACAGAGTGATAAAAGGATAAATTCAGCAAGAAGATATAATATTTATAAATTTTTATGAAGATAGGATTGCTTGATATGTGAAGCAAATATTAACAAACTTAAGAGAAATTAACAGCAATACAGTCACAGTAAGGGACTTTAATTCCTGTATCTATGGGCAGATCACCAGATAGAAAAATCAAGAAGAAAACATTGGTCTTAAATGATGCATTAGACCAGATGGACTTAACAGGAATAGACAGTCTATCCAAAAGCAACAGAACACACATTCTTCTCAAGAGCACACAGGACATTCTGTAAAACGTCAGGCCACGAAAGTCTCAAGTTTAAGAAGACTGAAATCGTGCTCAGCGTTTTTTCTCACCACAGTGGTATGAAGCTGGAAATCAATCACAAGAAGAAAACTGGGAGAAAAAAATTTTGTGGAGATTAAAAAAATACTGAGTCAATGACGAAAATGAATGGGATGCAGCAAAGCAGTTCTCAGAAGCGTGTCATGCCCTACGCCTACAGCAAGAAACAGGAAACATCTCAAACACCTCGCAGAAATAAGGGAACAAGAAAAAGAACAAATGAGGCCCAATTGTTAGTAGAATGAAGAAAATCATAAAGATCAGAGCAGAACTAAACAAAACTAAAAGCTCAATCTCTGAAAAGATAAAACTTTAACTAGACCCACCAAGAGAAGAAGAGTATAAATCAAAATCACAAATAGAGGAACAGTTACAATAGAGAACACAAATAGGGCCTCGCTGGTGGCACAAGGGGTTGAGACTCAGCCTATGAGGTTATCCGCAGCCACTGCAGCAGGAGTTTAATCCCTGACTGGCCAGGGAGCTACCCACATGGTGCAGCAGCCCTCTCCTGTCTGGCCCACTGCTCCCCTCAGCAGTGTATTTCAGACAGTCTGCCTGTTCTGTTCCCCGTTCTGTCTCTGGCGAGTCCTCTCTGCACCTCTACAACTCTGGCCTGTGCCCCTTTTCTTGTATGCATGCATAAATAAATCTTGTAAAAAAAAAAGAGAGAACACAAATATAAAGGATCATAAGACATGACCATGACTCACCCCAACAAGTTGGGCAGCCAAGATGAAATAAATTCCTATAATCATACACGCTTCCAAGACTGAATCAGGAAGACAGAAAATCTGAATGGACCAGAAAAGGGAATTGAATCTGTATCAAAACCTCCCCCAAAAGAAAAATTTAGGACCAGATGGGTTCACTGGGGATTTCCACCATACTTTCAAAGAAAATGTAATATCTATTCTCAAACTCTTCCAAAAAATTGAAGAGGGAACACTTCCAAATGGTTTTTTTTTTTTTTTCCAGTTTAACAGACATTTATCCCTTGAGTCAAACAACCTCTACACACAATGGAAATATATGGTTTAAGATTTTGAGTGGAGGGCCTCCTCGGTGGCGCAGCAGTTGAGCGCTGGGCTGCGAGGCTGCCCACGACCTCTCTGGCGCCAGTTCGAGCCTCAGCTGCTCCCCGGCCACAGGAGGAGGGTCCCACATGGCGCGCAGACCTCTCCTGCAGCCCACTGCTCCCCTCTGCAGTGTACCTCGGTCCTTCTGCCTGCTCTGCTCCCCGCTCTGGCTCTGGTGAATTCTCTCACCCTCCAGCACTTCTGACTGTACCCAGTGCATGTATAAACAAACAAACAAATAAATAATACATGCCTCTCTTAAAAAAAAAAAAAAGATTTTGAGTGGAATTTAGGTCTCAGTAAGTTTTGAGCCTGCATGTTTTCTTGAAAATTGGGACTTTTAAGACACCTAAAGAGAAGTTGCAATTAGATTTTGAAAGCATTCTTAAAACAGCAAAATCGGAATTGGAAGGGATTAGGGTAATTCCTCTCTGTATTTCTACACAAATTCACACTGGAGACAGCCGTCTTCTGAAGACGGGAAGCCATAAATTCTAGACTACGGTGTTGTGTCATGTTAAGGTGGGCAGTTGATGGCCTAGCCAAGTTAGTGGAATGGTACTTCTGCTGTTGGCCAGGGATGAGAAAAATAACTGTAAACACTGTTAGGTAAGAGACAATAGATGACAGCTACATCTATTATGACTTAGTTCTTAGTAGCCTTATGAGAGTAGATGTAGGTTGATCCAAGATGATTTTTAAGACTAACTCAACAGTAATCTACTTTTAAACAAAGCCAACCATCTTTCTCCAGGTTCCTAAAGGTGTGACAAACAGATCAAGCTTTTAAAACTTTGATCAAAGTGGACACAATTTTTTATCCTCACACTTGAAAGGTATGTGACTGTCCCTGGTCTCCCAACCCATAACATTACTAGTTTATAATCACAAATAATGTCAGTTCCCATTACTGACCACTGTGCACATAATTCAGGATCCTACATGCCCCATGAAGTAATGGGATTCAATCAGGAGCCTTGACTTGAATGGTATCGTGGAGACACTTGTTTATGTTAACCAGGATATTTCATTTATAAGAACAGGTCTTGTAACAGGTTTATTCAATTCTCCTAGAAATAGTAGCTTTTATACTGATTTTCAGAAGCAAGTTATAAAAATGGAATATTGGACTAAAAATGTGGGCCCTAGTTAACTTTCATTTTTTTTCTGCATACAATCACAACAAAGGATTAGGATAACATTCACGTTTCAAGTAAAATCCAACTTAAATTTGTTCTCACCAACTCCTAAAACAACCACTTGAGAAAACCAGATCATCACATTACCCCAATGAAGTTATAGGTTTTATCACATGCACCAAGAAAGCTATAGTGCTAGTTTCTGCACTCTTTTTTTACAGGATTTTACACCTATTATACCAAATGGCATTTTAAACACTGACATGTAACTCCCTAATAAGATAAAGCAAAGACAAAGCATTTATCTTATTAGAAACAAGATATATCACTTACAGCCTTCAAACATTATTGCACTTTAACTTTCATAATTTGACAATGCATTCATGAAACAACCTGCAGACACTTGTTTTAACAAATTAAAGAACACTTTTAAGCAGACATAACTGTCCTAAATTGTTTATTAGGTAAGAATTTTGCAAACATTACTTAATTAGCGGTAACGGTGGAGCTGGAACATATTGCGCCTTCTCCAAGCTGCTCGGCGAGAACCACCAATAGCGTGGTGAAACTTGTGGCCCTTTCCAAGGCCACGGCTCTTGTGGCCTGCAGATGTTAGCCCCTGCATCTCCCTGTGCTTGTGGACTGGTTTAGTGATCCATTGGGTGTCAGGGTTTCTTCTGATAGCTTGGAATGGATCTTGGAATGATAGCTTATGGAATGGATCGCTGAGGATAACCTCAAAAAATTTGTACGTGGAATCTTCACCAACACAGTAAGAATTGAGGACTCTCAGAGCTCCACAGTGGCGTCCAGCTCGCTCTTCAGCAACAGATTGAAGGCTTCTAGCAAACTTCAGCTGATTTACACCATGGTGGACAGGCATGCCATAGGTTGCACCCTTTGGAACTGGACGTTTGAGGCCACCACGGTGCACACGTATCCGATATATGACATAACCTTGCTTGGCTTTGTATCCCAGTCTTCTAGCTTTATCCGGCCGGGTGGAGTGGGGTGCCCCGTGGAGGGCCGACAGCTGGCAATACTGCCAGCAGCGCGCCCTGAGAAGAAAGCGCATCACATCGGACTGCTTCTTCCCCCATAGTACCTGGATGTATTTATAAGCGCCCATTTTGGCTTACCTGTTGGCTGCCTCCAGACGGAAAGGGCCACTTCCAAATGTTTTTGACAAAGCCAGCCATCACCATGATACTAAAACCAGCGAAGTATACCACAAAAAAAAAAAAAAAAAAAAAAAACTGAAGTTCAGGGAAATATCCCTGACGAAGATAGATGCAAAAATTTTCAACAAAGTATTAGTTAACCAAACTCAATGAAAAGATCATGCAGCATGATGGAGCAGGATTCATTTTAGGTATGCAAGGAAGGATGATTCAACAGTCGCAAAACAATATGATACACCCCATCAAGAAAATGAAAAACTAAAGTCATGATCATTTTAATGGGTTCAGAGAAAGCCTTTGACTAAATTCAACATCCTTTCAATGAAGTGAATATAGAGAGAACATAATTGAACATAATAAAGGCCATACATGACACACCTTAGCTAACATCATATTCAACAATGAAAGACAGAATGGCTTTATTCTAAGATCAGGAGCAAGATAAGAATGCCCACTCTTGCTACTTTTATTCCACATAGTACTGAAATTCCTGGAGTCATAACTGCTGGAACAATTAGGTGGACAAAGGGGCGGGGGGAGGATAGGGGAGAGGAGGGAAGGGAGGGGGAAAAAAGCATCCAAAGTGAATAGGAAGAAGTGAAACTGTTACTCTCTGCAGACAACAGCATTTTACATATAGAAAAATGTAAAGACTCCACCCAAAAACTGTTAGAACTAGTAAGTCAATTCAGTAAAGTTGTTGGGTACAAAAATCAATATACAAAATTCTGTTGAATTTCTATAAACCAACAATAAACTATCAGAAACAAAAACTAACAATCCCACTTACAATCGCCTCAAAAAGAATAAAATACTACAAATAAATTTAACTAAGGAAATGAAAGACCTATAAAGAAAACTAAGACACTGATGAAAGAAACTGAAGATGACACAAAGATATGGAAAGAATTAGTACTGTTAAAATGTCCACGACACCTAAGGCAATCTACATTCACTGCAATTGAAATTCCAATGGCATTTTTTCACAGAATACAAGAATCCTAAAATTAGGTCCCAAATAACCAAAGCAATCGAGAAAGAACGGCAAAGCTGGAAGTATCATTCTCCTATATCAAACTGTATTACCAAGTTGTAGTCCTCAAATCAGTATGGAATTAACATAAAAACATGAAAGGCCTCAAAGTACGAACGAAACCCTGAGGAAAAAAGGAGAGAAATGGGGGGGGGCACATAACCTGACTTCAAACTTTACTACTAAACAACCCTATTAAAAACAACATGGCATTGCCACAAAAAGATATATGGATCAATGGAACAAGACTGAAAACCAGAACTAAGTTGAAAGTGCGCATTCATACAAATAGTCATCTATGACAAAGACACACGACCATAAAATGAAAAGAGCTAAATGGTGCTGGACAATTGGAAAGCCACACATACAAAAACGAAGTTGGATTAGTAACACCATACACAAAAATAAATTCCAATGGACTAAAGATTTAGATATAAAACCTGCCACACAGGATATAAAATCAACATGCAAAAGTCAGTAGCCTTCCTATACACAAACAATAAATCTGAAGAAGAAGAAATCAAAAAAACCATCCCTTTTATTATCAAAACAAAAAAAAAATCAAATACTTGGGAATAAATCTAACAAAAGAGGTAAAGGACCTATACAAAGAAAACTATAAAACACTGTTAAAAGAAATAGAAGAAGATACAAAGAAATGGAAAGACATCCCCTGCTCATGGATTGGAAGAATAAACATTATTAAAATGGCCATCCTACCAAAAGCAATATACAGATTCAATGCTATTCCAATAAAAATTTCAAAGTCATTCTTCAAAGAAATAGAACAATTATCGATGAAATTCATATGGAATCACCAAAAACCCCGAATAGCCAAAGCTCTCCTGAAAAAAAAAAAGAAGGGAATGGAGGCATCACACTCCCAGACTTCAAACTGTACTACAAAGCCATAATCATCAAAACTGCATGGTACTGGAACAAGAACAGACACACAGACCAATGGAATTTAATAGAAAATCCAGAAATAAACCCACAGATTTATGGTCAACTCATCTTTGACAAAGGAGCAAAGAATATGCATTGGAGCAAAGGAAGTTTGTTCAATAAATGGTGCTGGGAAAACTGGGTCGCTACATGCAAAAGAATGAAGCTTGACTACTACCTCACACCATGCACAAAAACCAACTCAAAATGGATTAAAGAACTAGACATAAGACCTGAAACCATAAAATACATAGAAGGAAATACAGGCGAAACACTACATGATATGCACATCAAAGACATCTTTACAGACACATCACCCAAAGCAGTGATAGTGAAGGCAAAGATCAACAGCTGGGACTACATCAAATTAAAGAGCTTCTGCACAGCAAAAGAGACAATAACAAAAACAAAGAGAAACCCCACTGACTGGGAGAACATTTTTGCACACAACACTAATGATAAAGGACTGATCACAAAGAGCTACAAAGAGCTGATGAGACTCAACAAAAACAACAAAGAAAATAATCCAGTCAAAAAATGGGCAGAAGAGCGAAAAAGAAACTTCTCCAAAGAGGAAATGCAAATGGCCAACAGGCATATGAAAAAATGTTCAACATCACTTGTAATCAGGGAAATGCAAATCAAAACTACAATGAGATACCATCTTACACCCGTGAGAATGGCACATATTAAAAAAACTAGCAACAAACAAATATTGGCAAGGGTGTGGAGAAAAAGGAACTCTCCTGCACTGTTGGCGGGAGTGCAAACTGTTCTAACCACTATGGAGAGCTGTGTGGAGATTTCTGGACCTACTGAACATAGAGCTTCCATATGATCCAGCAATTCCACTCCTAGGTATTTACCCAAAGGACACAGAAACATCAATTCCAAAGAGCACCTGCACCCCTATGTTTATAGCAGCACTATATACAATAGCTAAGCTATGGAAACAACCCAAATGCCCCAAAATAGATGACTGGATCAAGAAGATGTGGTACATATACACCATGGAATATTACTCAGCATTCAAAAAAGACAAACACATGCCATTTGCAGCAACATGGTGCTGGATGGGATCATGCTCAGCGAAATAAGCCAGAAAGAAAAAGAAAAATACCAGATGGTCTCACTCATAGCAAGAATCTAGAAAACTTAAATAAGGGACCAGGAAAATAAATAACTATAAGAAAGTGAAAATCAAAAATCAAACAACTATGAACCAGAGACATTCTATGGAGGGTGGGGGTCGGGGAGGGGATGGATTGGGGTCAAAATAAGGGGGTTGCAATTGTATGGGGAATATAAAAATAAAATTTATAAAAAAAAAAAAGAATTGTTTCTCTATCCAAATTTCAGATTCTCATGGTAATCAACGGTTCCCAGACAGTGTTACTTTACTTCCCCACAAGAACCTCAAAATTAAACATGTCAACACCTGAAGAAAAAAAAACAAAACAAAAACCTGGCACACAAAAAAAATACATGGAAAAAAACATTGGCAATCCATTCCATTATATCAACAATAAAGGTAGTTTTGGTGACTCAACCCCTGTGGCAAGGGAATTAAAACCAAAAATACACAACTGGGATTACTTCAACTTAAAGAGCTTCTCCACAGCAAGAGAATATACAAGACAATTAAATGGATATCTCTTGAACGGGAGAACATATTTACATAATATATAATTGTCAAGGGGTTAATATACAAGACATATTAAAAAAACTCCTATAATTTAACAATAAAAAACCAAATAACCCAATTAATAAATGGGCAGCAGATATGAACAGATAATTTATCAAAGAGGATATTCAGAAAGCCAAAAGACATGAAAAGATGTTCATTGTCATTCTAATAAGATGAGAATTACAGCTACAACAAGAAACAGTCTCACACTCATGAGTATGGCAAATTAAAAAATTTGACCCCCAACAACAAGTGTTGGAGAGAATGTGGAGAAAAAGGAAACCTATTAAACAGTCAGCAAGAATGTCAAGTGTTGCAACCATTATAGAAAGCAATGTGTATTTACCTTAAAAAATTAAAAATGGACGGGGTATGTGTGTGTGTGTTGTGGTGTTTTGGGTTTGGGTATTAGAGTAATACTGGCCTCATAAAATGTGTTTGGAAGTATACTTTCTTTTTCTTTTCTTTTCTTTTTTTTTTTTTTTGGAAGAGTTGCAGAAGGATAGGTATTAGTTCATCTTTGAAGGTTTGGCAGAACTCACTTGTGAAGACACCTGGACTTGCGTTCTGGGGCGGGGAGGGGAGTTTTGATTACTGTTTCAATTTCCTTGCTTGTGATTGGTCTCCTCGAGATTTCAATTTCTTCCCTATTCAGTTTCAGATGATAGTGTGATTCTAAGAACGTGTCCATCTCATTTGAGTTATTGAATTTGTTAGCATATAAATACTCATAGTAGCCTCTATCCTCTGAATTTGGAATTTCCCTAATTAAAACATATGCAAAAATCTTCACTATTATCTTCACAAACCGAATCCAACTACGCATTAAGAGGACTATACAACATGACCAAGTGGGATTCATACCAGGGACACAAGGATAGTCCAACATCTGAACATAAATCAATGTAATCTACCACATCAACCAAAAAAAAGATAAATATCATATGATTATATCTATAGATGCTAAGAAAGCATTTGATACAATTCAACATCCATTTATGATGAAAGCCCCAGAAAATCTGGGTATAAATGGAACATACCTTCACATAATAGAAGTCACCAAAAAAAGCCACAGCTAACATCACTCTCCATGGTGAAAACTAAAGCTTTTCCACTAAGATCTGATACAAGACAAGGATGTTGTAGGGTAAGTAAAGCATCAGGCTTTTCCACCCTCCTGCCTTTAGATTAAATGCATGCCTGATGGTGGACACCAGGAATGGGGTGTGTGCGTGCATTGGTGGGCGCACCTGGGCTGAGAGACTGGGCTCATAAGGGCGGCGTCACAGGGACGCCAGCAGAGCAAAAGGAAGAGAACAACCAGAAGATGCAGAACCAGCAGAGAAGCAGAGGCCACACAAGATC